ACTCTGTTTGTATCGTGATTAGTGAGCAGCAGAGATCTTTATGTCATAAGATAAATCCCATAAATCAACTTATTTCACTTAGAGGGGAAAATGCGTCTGTGTTTAAAGAGCACGTGTGTGTTGTGTGGTTTCTTGTCGTGCAGCAGCGAGGTTTGGTAAGTTTGGAGGAGGGAGAGACGATGGATCAGGATCCAAAGCGGCTCTGCTCTCTGGACCCCCAGGTGTGGGGAAGACCACCACCGCTGCCCTGGTCTGTGAGGTCAGTGTGAAAACATAGACACGTTACTGTGTGTGGTTTCTTTGTGTTGACACCAGAAAAGGTCCCCAAATATGCGAATGAACTGCATGTGTTAATGCAAACGGCCGTATGTAGCATATTGATTTGATCTGGATGTGGTTAAATTACAGCGTAAAGTCGGGGTGATCCGATGTATGAAAGCATTGTCAAATATTCAGTATAATTCACCCCGAGGGAGGGGCATTAATGTCACGCAACCAGTGAGCCCCCGTTGGATAATCAGGCATGTAACAAAGCTGCTTCCTACCCTTTTCTGCTCGCAGAGAGAGCAAAGAGTGCAGTAACATGTAGCATTGATATGAAGGGGAAACAAACTCCTAATGTTGGATTTGCCCCTCCTCTAACAGTGAAAACTTCTCACTGTGAGGGACATGTGGTAATAACTCATTTCAGGGCAGGCGGTCCTGACATTCTTGATATTTTCACGAGTGCATGAATGAAAACATCATATTTGACATCTGATCATTATGCTTTGCTCACTATCTGTTTTTAACTGAACCTCTTCGCCGTGCAGGAGCTGGGTTTCAGCTACGTCGAGATGAACGCCAGCTGTACTCGCAGCAAAAGAAACCTGAAGGAAGTCGTAGCGGAGTCACTGAACAACACCAGCATCGAGGGCTTCTACAAAGGTGAGACCTTCACTTACATTTCTCTGAATATGCTTTCTCCTTTGACTGGAACGTAGTATTGTCTGTGTTCAAAGGAGCAAAATCAACAAAAATGTTTGAATAAAATAAGTATAACCATTTATACATGCATGCAATAACACCTTCATGAATATACGCACACACACACACACACTGGCTGGCGGCCTGGGAGCTTGCCTGTATAGCTGCTTGTTTCGGGTTAAAACTGAGACTAGTAACATTTATAATATTTGAGTGTTCATGCTATCTGCTAAATGTAACTATGAGTGTGTTTTTATTGTTCAGGTACGTCTCAGACTGTGACAAGTCAACACGTCCTGATCATGGATGAGGTCGATGGTATGGCTGGTAACGAGGACCGTGGAGGAATCCAGGTGAAAAAAAAAAAAAAACACCCACACATTTCTATGAAGAGTGAGAGTTGATGTTTGTCACATATCTCTGCTTTTGTGATGTGATCGGGATGTGAGAGGTTTTCAGCCTTCTGAATTGTAACATTAGAAAATCAATCTTCATCTGATTCTGACCTCTTGATCTTTGACCTCCTTGTAGGAGATGATCGGCCTGATCAAAAATTCAAAGATTCCATCATCTGCATGTGCAACGATCGTAACCACCAAAAGATCCGCTCGCTGGCCAACTACTGCTTTGACCTGCGCTTCCAGAGGCCGAAGGTGGAGCAGATCAAGGTACGCGCACACATCCTGTCTCCCAAAACTCCAGGATGCAAAACACAAACTGATTCTGACTCCAGCTGGTTCATGTCGGTGTCAGGTTGTTGGGATTTGATTTGCAGCTGAAAATAGACGAACACTTTTAATATTCATGCCATCTTAAGAAAGTTTAAGATATGCATGACTTGATTTTTAAGGTTATAATAAAACTACTTCCTGTCTGTTATCTTCTTCACCATTGGAATAAATCCGCTCTTTAGTGTGAATGTTTAGTTTCCTCGCTCCTTCACTCTTTTTTTCACTCTTTCTTTTTTTTTCTTCCAGGGCGCTATGATGTCCCTCGCTTTCAAGGAGGGAATCAAGATCCCGCCCCAGCTCTGAATGAAATCATCTTGGCCTCCAATCAGGATGTCCGACAGGTAAAGACGTTAATACAGAGTGTCACAACACTGAATCATACTCCTGTTTTGTCCTCCCCCGCCTCATGTTTGCTGCCTGTTTTCTGTGCAGGTGATCCACAACCTGAGCATGTGGTCAGCCAGAGACAAGGTGATGACGTACGACCAGTGCAAGTCGGACGCAGCGAGAGCCCGCAAGGACATGAAGATGGGGCCGTTTGACGTCTGTCGGAAGGTGTTTGCCGCGGGGGAGGAGACTGCCCACATGAGCCTCATCGACAAGTCGGATCTCTTCTTTCACGACTACTCGCTCGCTCCGCTCTTCGTCCAAGAGAACTACCTGCACGTTCGGCCCAAAGCTGCCGGGTGAGAGAGGCTAACTGTTTCCACTCTGTGTGCTGAAATAAGATAACTGCCTCCTGCTTCTTGTCTTTATTAACGTAAACACATGAGAGTGGTGTCAAACTTCTTAATCCTCCACAAGAAAACTAAAAATAAACGGAGATCTTCAGAACGGGTTTTTGAATGTTTCTGCTTTTTTTCTTTCCGTCTTTCTTTCCTCTCAGTGGCGATCTGAAGTCTCACCTGGTGTTGCTCAGTAAGACGGCTGACTCCATCTCAGACGGAGACCTGGTGGACAGACGGATCCGCTCTGCGCAGAACTGGTCCCTGTTGCCCACCCAGGTAACAAACCCATACACAACATCACACTTATGAGAAGGTTGAATCGTGCCTGTAGGTTGGGTAATTTTCCACGAGCTATCCAGGAAGTGACTTTTCTCCTTACTCTACCACACGGCTCCTAACAGCCCAACAACCCACCCATGCAGACAGGAGAGCCAGGAGGACATTTCTTTTTTGTTTAAAAAAAAATAGACCTAACTTAACTAATAAGAACCTTGTGCATAAACGTGTGTGTTCCTCTGTGTGTGTCCTTGAAGGCCGTCTATGCCAGCGTGCTACCAGGTGAGCTCATGAGAGGCTACATGAGTCAGTTCCCCACCTTCCCCAGCTGGCTCGGCAAGTACTCGTCCACCAGTAAACATTCCCGCATCGTCCAGGAGCTGTCCTCGCACATGGGTCTCAAGTGAGCAAGACGGTCATTGAACTACTTACAAGTTATCAAAACAATAAAAACAACAGCTGACTCATTGGTTTCTTCTTCCGCAGGACGCTGAGCAGCAGACAGGCGGTGAATCTGGACTACCTGCACTACCTGCGGCAGGCGCTGCTGAGCCCACTTCAGAAGAAAGGAGCAGATGGCGCCAGTGAGGCCGTGCAGCTGCTGGACGACTACCAGCTCATCAGAGAGGACGTGGACAGCATCATGGAGATCAGCGTGTGGGGCGGACAAGCTGATCCCTACTCCAAACTGGACCCCAAGGTGAGCAGGAGGCGGAGACGGGGCGAGGTTTGGGTTAGCAGGCTTTTCTCACAGATTTTTGTGTTTGCCCAACTTTAGAGATAAATGTTCCCTCTCTTGTCTGATTGTTCCCTCCCAGGTGAAAGCAGCATTCACACGAGCCTACAACAAAGAGGTCCACCTCACACCGTACTCCCTGCAAGTAGTTAAGAAAGGTCGTGGTGGCGGCGGCGGCGGGGGAGAGTCAGAGTTTGGAGGAGACAACGGGGACAACGAGGTGCAGGAGTCTGAGGACGAGGGGGAGGGCGTCAAACTGGACGCCATGATCAAAGTAAGAGAATTTAAAGAGGGATAACTGAAGTTTTTAGACAACAATGTTTAAGGCTGTCTTTTCATGATTGTCTTTTTAAACCTTCCTGCAGCAGAAGAAGGCTAAAGCTACCAAGGTGACAAAGAAGGAGACGAAAAATGATGATTCTGGGAAGGGCAAAGGCAAGGGGAAAGGCAAGGCAAAGAAATAACAAGACGACCAGAGGAGGAAAGCTAACTGTCCCTGTCTGCCTTCTTCTACCCTCACAGACTGTCTTTTTTTTTTTTCTTTCTCTGTGCTTACAACGATCCTTTAGCGAGCGTCACAGATGAGTGAGTCTGGTCTAAAATACTGCAGGTAACTGATCCAAGCACTTAAACCTCCACAAACTGCTGAGAAACGTCTTTTGAAACCTCCGGTCATGTTTCCATCGGAGCGTCTCTAGACTGAACAAATGATGCATACTATCTGCTTTGTGACCTCCACTATCATGTCCACACACTCCTGCAGTAACACCAGTCTCCACAGGAATGACCTGCGTTTGTTCCATCATCAGATTGTAAATAATGGGACTGATGTCAAAGACTGTTACCTTTTTGCTACAACGGCTACAAGGAAATGCTTTAGATCTCTATCGGTTAGCACTGATGTTCCTGTATATTGCAATTTTGTATAAATTTCATGAGGAGTAAACGAACGTGTTTGGCTCATGAGTTTCTTTGATTTTTGAGCCTCTGTGACCTTCATAAATGAGACCCCTGATCTTAACCAGCACACTCACACTCACCACACTGGAGATGCCTCAAAGTGTTCAAATACAAAACTCTCTGACCCCCTCAGAAAAGTCCTGCACATCCTTCAGTGGAAGTGAGTGCCCCCCCCCAAAAAAAAAACATGAATGTGGAAATGTTAGAGTAACCTGAAGCTACTTGAACAGTACAGGAGATTAAACAAGACAAGGAATCCTGAAACAAGTGTTAACTTAGATGGTTAATTAAAAAAAGATTCAGTCTCTTTTTTTTTAGAGCTGAACAGAAATGTGAGCACAATAAACTCAGTGAACGTTGTGTAAAGTGTCGAGGGCCTCTTACACAGTCTGGGAAAACAGAAATATTTAAAAGATGAACGACAGAAAGAGGACAAAGGAAACTTCAGGTAACTATTCATTCAAGTATTTGTACATATTCTCATGTCCGGTTTGACTTTTGACAGACAGATGATCCAGAGTACAGAAGTGTCTGTACTCATTTAAAGCTTCAACTGTTCTCACTATATTATAAAAGATAATGTAAGAAACCTGAGCAAACAGCTAAATATACAAAGCTTTATTTGATTCTTTCTGAAAAGTATTTCATATTCAGTTCATTCTTTTATTTTCACATTAAAAAACTAAATTCTGCGCACATTTCATCCTGAATATAGATCTGAAGTCTGCAAACAAATCTTTTATTTGAAGATGAACATAAATGATATTGTTTAGTTTGGTTTTATTCACTGATCCACTTCTTCAGCCTGCAGGTAACTGGAACAATCGGAGATCTTCTTCAGCTGTTTCGCACTCAGAGTCTCCGAGCACATGGGACACACTGACTCGGTTTCCAACAACCTGCACACACAAACAGTTCAGTGAAGACTCGTGACAGAGTGTGAGAGGGCGCTTCAAGGGATACACTTATTCACTCTCTAGTGGGAGAGTCAGATGTGGAGACATTTAGCTTAGCACAAAGATTCTTTGAAATGAACATGTTACAAAAAACAAAAACATGTGTGTTCTTAGTGTAATCAGGGTGCTGTCAACTATTTGTTGGTACAGTATTTAAACACATTTTCATATAGAACGTCAGCTGTTTGCATCTGTGTGTGCAGTATGTGTGTGTGCAGTATGTCATGAAAGCGTGACAGTCTTATAAACTTTACAAATTCTGAATTTCAGATACATTTTGAACATTTGTGAATTTATCTGTTAAATAAAACCATACTAACAACAAACATGAGTTCAATGTGACCATCCCTCAAGAAACAAAAACTATGTTTGGGACACCTTCCTTTATCACAGGGAGCCTCTTAAAGTAACGACCTCTGTGTCCCGTAGACGGACTACTTCAACATCACTGCTGGGTATTAAATCCTCTCTGAAGCTGAGCCGTTAAGATATACAAGATAAATATCCCAAACATCAAACTTATGAAGGGTAAAAGTAATCTTAACCTGCAAATACTAAGATCTACTTTATATTCAGAAACTGCTGTTGAGTAGACCGTCATCTAGATGATCCTTTTATAAAGTTAAAGTCTTAAGACAAGATTTGTCAGATTTCTGTTGTGATTCTCAAACATGATGACTCTGCTGCTGTGGATCTAAAAGTAAATGATTAGGAATATGTGATCAGTTCATGTAACTATCTGAAAAGTGGAGGTGCTGAAGGTTTTTGGTTTATTAGTAAAGTTGACTTACAGAATGAACTGTGAGTAGAGAGCAGGAAATTCACAGTGTGGACACACACACCAGTCCTCCTTCAGCATATGACGACCCTGAAAAAGACACAGATGATGACAATGTGGTCCGAGAAGAGGGTGAACCTTTTAAACTTTTGTTTAAAAGGGAAAAACAGCACATGAGTTTATGACTGGGTTAGTGAATGTGTGTGTTTGTACCGTGGCGATGCAGTACGGCAGGTTGTTCTTGCAGGAGATACACAGCAGCTCGTTCTGTGGCAGCTGGAAGCCACAGAAAGGACACGGGGTAGTTTCCTCTTCCAGCTCGGAAGTATCCGGACGTCTGTGGTGCAGTGGACGAGAAAATGAGATTTAGAGGAAGAGTAAAGGTAGAGCAAGAGATCAGTAAAAAGGAAGGAGGTGATATATTGGAGGAGGTGAAGTACACGTGTTGTAGAGGGAGTTGAAAGTCTTTCAGCATGAGGTAAAGAAAAGTGATGAGCATTCCTCTCACCGAACCATCGCCTCGATCTTCTTCCTGTACTTTGGGTCGATGTCGTTTCTGTACTCTGGTCTCATCAGCATGGCGGCAAAGCTGAAGGCCGAGTTCTTCAGGCCGGCACGATGACATTCGATGACTGTGGACGTCAGAATGGGAACAACATCTACACACACACACACAAAATCAAAGGTCAAAAGTATTCAGATTTCAGCTACATAAAAGCATATTTTTGATGTTGTTGAAAAGTGTGAAAAGGTTTATTCTGTGTGAACTCACGTGCAGGAAATTTGCTGATATTGTTGCTGACACGAATGAGCATGCGCGCTCCTTTCAGGTGATCTACCCGCTTCACATGGACCTACAGAGAAGGACACGTCATGTACCGAGTCACTCACATACACACTACATCCAGTTTATCTTCAGGCCTCATTATAAACATATACATACAAATATGATCAGGTCTCAGATGAATATATTTGAGGAGTTTTCTGTTGCTGTTTGTCCAAACGAGGCCTTTGTTCTTGATCATAACAAACTCATGTGAACACAACGTTACATCAGATGTTTTCATAAAGCGTTCGATTGTGGATTCCATCTCTGACTTTTTTAATGATGACCTCAGCCTTTTATATGTTGGTTCTCTAAACTGAGTGGAAAATGAGCACATGTTTGTGTAAGCCTCCTTCTTCATCAGTGTGGTTGAAAAGATTTTGGGGAAAACAAACACCTTCAAAGCATTTCAAGAGGGTTTCCAAATAGCTGTGAGTGGGGGAGGAGTTGGGTAATATCTGGACAACATGTCATGACAAAGATTTTCCACCCTCTCCTCAGCTTAATAGCTGTCATCTCTACAGAAAGCACTGGGTTAGAGTATCAAATACTCCTCATTTCCTGGACATTATTCACACACATGTCTGTGCATTAATTTATTTGAGCTGTTCTCACCTTGGCCAGCAGGTAGGAGTGCAGGATCATCAGGTTTGTTGCCATCTCAGCGGGGATTTTAATCTTCTGGGACTGCAGCTCCGTGTACATGCTGAAGAGCACGTCATGGGCGTTACGGTAGTTCCCTGTGGGAGCAACAAGAAGAAATAAACAAACGGAAATAGTGTGGAAAGCTACTGCGGCTTTATTTTTTTAAAGGTCTTTTTGTACCTGTACTCTGCTCTTCTCTGGCGATGATGATGGCGGTGCGTGCGGCCTCCCTGTACTGCTGCAGCGCCATGTACAGACGGAACAGGTACTTTGCATCCTGAGGAGAAGAACGAGAGCTCAATGTGACATTTGCTAGTTTAAGGGCACAGCTACATACAAAATGAGGGTCATTTTATGAAACTGAACACGATCCTTTGAACAATATGGGTAAGAAGAGATATGGTTTTTTTTTTTATTGGGTTGTGGTGTTCTTCTCTGTTGACAGGTGGACTGTGGCTTGTTACTTTTTATCTTACTCTGCAGCACTGGAGTTCAAGACTAAGTTCCCAGAGAGGACAATAAAGTGTAGTATCACATCACATCACATCACATCGCATTGTTTAGTATCCTGGAATTTAAAAATCCATCTTGTAAGATTTATTTTCAGAGTTGAATTCTCATTCAGTAAGATCTTAACACTAAAAGTTAATCTGCTCCTAGATCTAGAGAGCATCTAGAGAGGTCAGCAGTGGCTACAGAGCTACAATTTTAACTGTGTGTGTGTGCCAAACACAAACTCTTTGAAAAGTGGGAGGAGCAACCGAGGAGAAAGATTTATAATACATGGGTTTAAAAACTGTAAATATGAATTAACATCCTGTAACCTGGAAATTCAAAGCACAAAGAGACAGACATACATGACAGTGATTGATTACCTTGGGCATGCCGTCACTCTCTCCCATCAGGTAATCTATCAGCTGATTGGTCAGAGAGAGGTCCTTTGCCTGACCCACCTGAAACACACACACATCCAAAATAACACAAATGAATTGTCACATGATATGATATAAAGCAGTAGGATACAGGGTTTTCACCAGTGCAGAATTTAATCTTTGATATGATACTAGTTAAAATGAAAATACTGATACCTGTCCGGGGCTCCCAATATTCAATTTCTTGTTTGTAATGACCAAAAACATGATACACAAATATATTGTCCCCTTCTCTGCTGTCTGTCTGCTTGTATGAGACTTAATAGAACTTTAACCCCAAAACGACTGAAGACATCATCATTTTCCAACCTGTGAATTAGAATGAAAAGCACAGCTGCTCTCCGTTCTGTCCTTAGCCTGTCTACTAATCACCCAATCATGAGAAAAAGTCCATCCTCTCCGTCTTTTGCCTGCTCCACTTTTCAGAAAATGTGTGCTCAAACAGGCTGTTTGAAGATTTTCCCTTCATGACATCACAAAGGGCAGTAACCCCTCCCCCAGGTGGGTGACACTCCTACAGCTAGGTGTTTGTTCTGCGCTCTGAGTCTGCCTTCTCACCGTAAACAACAGGACATGGAGCGAGAAAGCCCGAGACACCCGAGTCCTTCCAGAGAGGGGGCGTGGTCAGAAAATATTTGACTGAAGGTCTGTCGTTTGCTTTGAAAGCTTCTGTACTTTTGATCATTGAATTAACAGAGACTGTATTGTTGTATTAAAGTATCAGACATTTTGACACTCTTAGTGGGATATTTAGTTTGATACTGTCGCTCTCACCGTCTCTATGGCCATCTCCACCGCCAGGTTGTCCTCAATGCTGGGACACTTGAGGAAGTGCTTCAGCGCCTGAGACACAGTGAACAGAGAGAAGAAGAAAAAACACACATACAGTGAGTCATTAAGTGTAACAGCATATATAAACATTAAAAAAAGGTTTAATTCAGAAGAGTACTTACTCGGCTGTACTGCCCACACTTCTGAAAGAACTTGCCCGCCTGCAGGTGTTTCTTCTCCCCCTCGAAGTAGAGAGCGATGCTCTGGTAGTCCTCCTGCGTGGCCTCAGGACCTGATGAACACAGCAGCAGGACAGAACAGCAGCAGCGTACACATTCAGTGACCCATTCGGACGTTATGTTTCAATCTTTAAAGTTATCCATATGGTTTAAACACCACACACACAGAAAGAGACTGACCGATGATGTCAGCGTAGACCTCCATCTGTCCGTGCTGCTGTGCCAGCTGGAAAGCTTCATCGTTACACTGAGACAGAACCAGGAAGTTGATGGCCGAGCCGTAGTCGTTCAAGCGCAGAAAGAACCTGAGACACACACGCACACACACACAGTAAGTTTTGTAATAACAAAGGCTAGTTTGAATTATAGTGCTTTCAGACTTTCAGAAAATAACTCTTGAAAAACTCCTGATATTTGCGTATTATTTATTTTGGTAAAATCATTTTTAGTTTCAGTTAACGTAAATGTTTTTTACATTTTAGTTTTGGTTAGTTTTCATAAACACATTGGTTTCTTCTTTTGTGTTTTTCATAATATCTTGACTTAAATGTAGGCTTGTATTTTACAGTTGTATTATGTTGTTGCTAAAAAGGAAAATAAATGATTTATGATGCAACAGGGTCAAAATCTGCTTCTTTCTTTATTTGGTATAACTGTAATTATTTATTATTATTTTATTTGTAACATTTGTAACAATAGGAGGGTTAATTTGTGAACATAACATAATTTCACAATATATATGGTTACATACAATGTTCTCTTGTTCGTCCTACCTGGCGACCATCTTTGCTCCATCGATGCTCTGCGTCTCCTTGACGATGCGTACAGCGTCCTCAGGGTTGTTCAGGTGGTCCAGCAGCACACGTATCACGTTGTCCCAGTCTTTGGCACTCTCATACGCCTGTGCAGCCTCTTTGTATCTGCAGAACACAGCAAACACGTTATACATAAACCCTTCTTTAGTGGCTTCATTCTCCTCAGTGTGACAGACATTCAAACCCAAGAACATACTTTCCGTCCGCCTCTTTGGCCTTGGCGTACTGCAGGTGGATCTTTGGAGAGGACACGTGTGGGAGCAGATCTCCCACCTTTGCCCTGAGTATAGATAAAAATACAGTTTAAATGTATAAAGGAGGAGGGACACTTAAAGGTCTGAGAGTCAGTGTGGGTTGTTTGTCTCACCAGTTCTTACAGCGGATGTAGACAGAAGCAGCCTTGTCATAATACTGGCCTTTCTCATAGAGCTGAGCGGCTTCAGAGAATTGCTGCAAGAGAAAGAAAACAAACCAGCGAGAAAGATATGTAAACAAAAAATGCACTTAAACACAAGTAACCTATATCACAAGACACAAACAAGGCTGACTCTGTACCTTCATGCTCTCCAGTATGGCTCCACATTCCTTCTTAAGGACTCTACTCGGGTGCTGGATCGCCTGAGCGGCTCCTCTCCTGATGTCGCCCATCCTGATGGACATCCTGGCTACACCCGCTTTACACGCGTCGTCATGCTCCTCAAACTGCAGGACGAGGAGGAGAAAGAATCACATGAGAAAGAATCGTCTGGAGTCATGAGTGAGGTCCTGTGTAGTAAGTACACAGTATAAAGCACTGATGTAGTCATAGTGACGTCATCGATAGGTTTCTGAAGAAGCATTTTAAAGCCGAATGATGGGGGACGCCATATGGGAAATGCTGACTACATAACTTTCCGTCAATCTGCTATCAGACAGAGTTGGGAGGTTAGGTAAGCCTTACCTCTCCTGGCAAACTGCTGCAGTTCAACCACCTGTCAGTCAAAGCAGCTATGCCACTAATTGTGAAAATGTATGAATAAGGCTTAATGAAATGAACCCCCCTCCCCCCCCAAAAAAAGGTTTTTTACCAATATTGAGAATTGAGCTATTTATACCAAATGTGTTTTATGAACCAGGCTGTAAATATGTTTATTTCTTGTCTTTTGCAGCCACACGTGGAACTGCAGTTTTTTGCACTTTTGCATTTGATTCATCTTTCAACACTGGACTTTGCTGCTTGGTAGTAATTATAGTATAAGAATAAGTAGTATTTATCTTCATGCTCACAGTGTGAAATTCATTTTACAATATTATTCAAGCAAGCTGAGATAAAAAAAAAATGATAGCACTTACTTTAGCATCATGGGTCATGCCTTTTTCATAGTGAGCAAGAGCGTTCACATAGTCTCCACTAGAGAGAGAGAGAGAAGTTTATTTACAGGGTAGACTGATGATGATGAGTGGTGATTAGAAGTGAAGTATAAATACTTGATTAAGATATTTCAATCAACTTTATGGAATCTGTTACTCATTTAAGTATTTATCAAACTGTTTACTTTTACCAGTTTTTTTTTTTTATTAAATCTTTTAACTTTTTAAATTTTACTCCAGTAAAGAAGGTGAGTCAGTATTTTCTCAGGGTTCTGTTACAAACGTCTCTGTCCTTCTACTTTAGTAAAGCAGGCGTGTACTTGAGTCATCTCTGATTATGAATATATGAGTGTGAGCGTGTTGGTCTGTGTGTTTGCCTCTACTTACATAAACTCCAGATGGACAGCGTACTCTTTGGATATGAAGGGAATCTGGTCTTCTGCTAACCTCTTTGCCAACATGAGAGCACTGTCCCAATTCAGCAGGTTTCTCCTCATCTAACACACACACACACACACACACACACAATATATATATATATATAAATAATAGGGCACTACTTAATAACTTCCCATACTTGTTGATGAAACGACACGAGCGGCTGATTAAACACATAAAGACTGTCGACTCTTTGTGTGTGAATGTTTTTACCTCCAGGGCAGCGATTGGGCAACTTGAGGACATGTAGAGGTCCTGGGCCACATTGTAGTCCCCTAGAAACATGGCCAAATGTCCAGCCAGCAAATTCATGTCCTCTGTTCCCTGAATCCAGAGGGAGAGAGCGATAGACAGAGAGGAGGAGGGTAGGTGTGTCAGAGTTGTTGGTGTGTGTCACTGAGAGGGAGTTTGATATATTAATAATGGTCTGAGTTTAAGTTGTACCTGGGTGCCCTTCAGTGACAGCACCATGCCCACATCCCCGCTCATGCGGTACACCTGGATAGCCAGATCCACCTCCATGTGGACCAGACAGGCTTTCCCTAACTCTGCCCAGTCTGAGCTACTGCCGGCAGACTTACACAGATCCCACGCTTCGTGAAACCTGGAGGAAAAAAAACAAAACATAGATGAGTCCCATGTTTTTTTGTTTGCAGATTTTTTCATTTACTATTAAACGTGTTCTCTTGCTCAGTGGGAGCTAAACCGCGAACAGATCTCTCTCTCTTTAAAAAAACAACTTTGATCATAACTTGTAACTATTAATAATGCCATCACAGCACAACTTTCAGTATTAAATGTCTGATAACGTTTTCCAGAGATTGGATTAACAAACCAAATATATCATAAACTGACTAACATAAAAATGTAGCACATGAATAAATCTCCTCAAAGCTTTCTTTCCATGTGTGAACACATCGTCTCCAACATGGCTGACCTCTTGAGCAGTAGAGCTTGGCCGAGCTGCTTGCTGAAATCCAGCTGTGAGTCTACTGGTGTGCCAGCTGAGCGCTTGAGGAAGGGGTGAGTGCTCAAAGCCACTTCACTGGTCTTTCCGCTGGCTGTCTGACACGTGAGCTCTCCATTGTGCAAGAGCAAAGGCTTCTGGGAAAAGAGGAGAGGGGTGCTACCCACCAGCACCACTCGGGGCCTGGAAAGACAGAGACAGGGAAGAAGAAGTACATTTTAATAATGAGCCTCCTGTTGTCAGCTCATCATTACATTTTTTTTGCATTCAGCATCAATATATTGAGTTTTTCTGCTAATATAAGCTGGCCCACATGAATAGGACAGTAAATAACGTTAAAATGAAGGACCAGTTCTCCCTGTTTAACATTTTAGAACTTAATCGCAGAGGGGTAAGTGTGCAGTTTGTGTGACGATGTGGGATCGCTCACCGTATATGGTCGTTTTATGCAGCGCGTAGGTGTAAACCTTCTCTTCATCATAAGCTACAAACACTCCTCTGTCAGCGTGCCAGTTGTCCCACAGCACTCCGGTGATGGTGGGAGAGAAGTTTGGGAGCTCAAAGCAGGTGTTTGTTGCCTGGATGGACACACACAGACACATTATAAAAAAAGAAACTACATAAAAAGAAACTCAACCTGCTAAATTAGTGCAAACACACTAAATGCAACAGGGCCACAAATGTTTCATTTGGTTGATTTACCTCCACAAAACATTTAAAAAATCTTGTCCTGCAATGATATTTTATTACTGGATATTAATTTACCCAGTTTAATCAGAGGCCAGTGGAATGTGACCTTTGTTTGACCTTTCATATCAGGTACCACAGGACCTTACGTCACTCTAAATTAAAGTTCTATTGAGGAACTTTCTGTTTTTGTCCATTTTGGCACCCCCTTTAGACGGTGTGATATCCCATATCTCTTTTTACCCAGTCTTGTACATGTGTAGGGAGTGTTTTCTAACAAAAAATCATCATCTGCTTTCTTTAAACAGCTGTATTTATCACTTATTGTGAATATTTGCTGTACAAAAGGTGGAAAAAAAGCTTGTTTCGTTAAGATGCTGTATATCATCTCATTTGACACAAACCCCATAGCAGAGATAAGAATCATTAAAAATAACAAAGTAGAAATACTCAATCGTGTCGCTAATTATCTGAGTAGCTTTTATAGGTCATTAAGAGGCGTCAGTATTCATTTCAGTCAGTTTCATAACCAATTAAAATCTCCTCACGGGAGCTAACAGGAGTGCCAAATTCTGTCTTGGCACCAATATAAATTTAGTTAAAAGCATCCGTTGACATCCAGAAAGTTTGACCGAAATCTGTCGGGGGAAATAATTAAGTAAGAAAAGACACTAAAAGTCTTTAGTAAGTATTTCTACTGACGTTTGTAGGAGAGAGCAGGAAGCCGCCATTCCTCTCGTCAATGAAAACCAGACGAGTGCCGTTAAGGTCGGGGAACACTTTCCTCACACCAACCGTGTGACTGTAGCTGCTCACAGTTTCCCAGTCTTCCACCAACACACACACCACATGACCTGACTGAGAAAGATAAAAAAGAGAGAGAGAGGACAACATGCATTAGCAAAAGATAAGTGAGGATAACGAGGAGGAGATCGGAATGAGAAGAGGACAAATAAGTATCTTGGAAAACACTGGCTCACATTTTCAAGGCTACAGTAGAGTGAGGAGAAAAACCTTTTAGTAATTCAAAGATGTTCTCATATCATGACCTTCTTAAAATAATGGTAGGATTTGCTGTGCCTCACATCAGTGCTGTAGTAGAGGAAGTCAGCGGTAAGGGCGTGGCAGAGGATCCGACTTTTTATCTCGTCATCTGGAAACAGCTTCATCTGCTTCTTCTCCTCCAGGTCTTTGCCTTCAATCTAAACCCACACACACACACACAGTTGCATGAACCCTTCTGTTTATCCATGTTTATAAGAGCAGTGAATGGTGAAGCCTGCTCAATAATCGCTCACCATGTGAAGCTGCACTTTTCCCTCAAACAGAGCTGCTGCGTAGTCGGAGTTAAGGCACATGCTGGCTATTGTCCCCAAGTACTCAATGTCCTTTAGCTTCTTAAAACCTGAGTGATACAAAAGTGAGATGATTCATACACTCATGCAGGGTTGAATAGTTATCAACCTCACACAACACCTGGTTTACTGTTTCACACTCACACACCAGGTTCATGGTCGACCAAGGCGTAGAACCAGGCTCTGTTGTTCATTCCCACAGCCACATGGTACGGTCCCATCGCGATAAAAGTTGGCTCTATTTCCACTTGTATGGCCACAGGACTTTCCTACAAAATAAAAGTTGTTTTTTGTAAGATTTATTTTTTCCTTTTTGTTCCTTTATCAGAGAGACAGGACAGTGGATAGAGAAATCAGGGAGAGAAACCCGGGCCGCACACCCGTAGAACCACAGCCTCCATACATTTTTAAAAATGAATTATATATGTAATGTATGTAGTTTTTCACATACTGCGATTCTATCCTAAATGTTTGTGTTTTGCAAAAAGACTTCACATTTTTTTTACCAACTTCACCGAATGGATTCATACATTTCCTTTTACTGTTCAGAGAGTCATTTGTGTGTTTTGATCTTTGTAATACAGGGATCAGGTTTACTCCATAAAACGACTCATCAAACAGCATTCCTGTGTTTCATTCAAAAGTAAATAATAATGATTTTTTTCTGCTGTAAATATCTAAACATTGGTGAAACTGATGGTGTAAGTAGTTTATTAATGTCCAATAATTGTCCTGTATACCGGTAGTTCATTTTACTCCTACTTGCATACCTGTTATGTGTACCTTTTACATTTATTTTTATCAATTGTAGCTAAGCTCTCTTTGTGTTTCAGCAACACCTGAAATTCTCCATTTGGGATCAATATCTTGTCTTGTCTTTTTTACCTATTACAGGTGTGTGTGTGTGTGTAACCTCACCCCTTCAACCTGGTTGGACACCGTGACCTCCAGCAGCGAGGTGAGGTACGCCAGACGGGTTCCAAAGCTGCCACCCAGGATGGGTAGCTTGGTCAAGAAGACGTGCAGTGTCCCTTTCTGTGTGGAAACCGCCAACAGCTGTCCGTCATCCGTCCAGCTCATCTGGTCCAGACCTGCAGCAGGAGAGCAGGAGGCCGGGAAAGGAGAAGTGGACACTGTTTAAAGGAGAATCCTTTAATTGACAGAAAGGCTACAAAAGAGAAGTCTTTCTCACCTTTGGTCTCATCATCCAGCCGAACTACGTTGCTGATATCTTTAAGCTCCGACAGCTCGTGGATCTTTATGCTGCAACAAGACAAACAATTCTTGAGTTCAAAATAAATAAAAGGATTGCTGCTCTGGTTCACTTGAAAGCCTGTGTGTACCTGTTGTCCCCACAGGAGGCGGCTTTGTTTAACGACGCTGAGATGGCCACGCTGTTGAGACTGTCTTTGTGGTTGTGGGCCTGATAGAGCTCCTGCCCGATCTCCCTGATGTGAGTGGAAATAACCACAAAGTATCCATGGGAGAAGCCGATCAGTATGTACCCATCACCATACCTACAAGACACAGAACATACCTTAGTACAAACATCTCACTACAGTGGATCAGTAACAGTGTGCCATGGCGTGCAGGACTGTGTGATCTTGTATTTTACCAGCGGTAGGACACAATGTTTCCATAGTGACGCTGGAAGGTCAATTCTATCCGGTTGTCAGGGTCATTGAAATTGAAGAGCATCAGTATCTTCTTGTCCACAGACACACTCACCTGAAGGATGAGAACGTGCAGAAAGGAAAACAAAAGAAAGTCAAATTAAAAGTGAGCATATTTAAGGGAATAAATCAAAGTAGGTAGACAACATCAGAAAGAGCACAGACTTACGGTGCTCTCTCCAACAGCAGATCTTTCATCCGTCTTCATCACCGAAAAGAAAATCTCAGCAGGCTCACCACGAAGTGTCGTCTGGAAACAGAAGAGATTTTCATTAACTTCTCCTGGCTCTGACACTGCTCTTTAATGGCATCTGTTTGCTGTTCTGTCATGTTTTGAAGTTTGAGTTTCAGCTTTTCCATGTTTGTTTTGCTCTTCTTTATCAAACACTGTAAAGTATGATCACCGTCAGATTACTTGCAGCACTTTTGGATGCTCATAATGTGAGGGAGTGAGACACCAATGCACATATTTAATCCAAAGGGCTGGTATGAAAATTTAACTATAAAGTGTTTTTGTCAAAATAAGGACACATTTGCGCTGTCAGTGAGTTAATGCACTCCTGCGTATGCGTGGCTACCTGTCGGACCGTGTCCCCCTCATGATTGCTGATGCTCAGAGTGTTGTCATCACTACCCAGAGCGAGTAGATTCTGAAAATTCCAGCACCCACAGGTGATCTTTTTTGTATGTTTACCTGGAAATAGAAGAGAGCAGGTATCAATACATAGAGAAGGCTAACGAAAGCATCATTTTGTTGAAATTGCCAATCTTTAACTTATCCATAAGAGCTCCAATCAGCAGGCTCCTCAAGTGCACAGAGCCACGAGGGCTAGTACATGACATCAGTCTACATGCTTTTTAAATGTCCCAATAAAACATTAAAAGAATGCATCAATTACCCAGCACAGGGATCTTGCGTGAGGTTTGCTGATTGTAGATCAGCAGGTTTCCTTTAACTGTCCCGACTGCCAACAGCGGGCTGATCTTTGACCACAGGAGGAAGGACATCTGGTCTCTGCAGAAACCAAAAACAGCAAGAACAAGAACATAACCCAGAGTACAAGGGCTGATTCAAAGCAATATCACATCTACTCTCGTCTAATAAACTGAAAGTTCAGCAACATTGACTATAATTATGAAAGCCTTAATGCTCTATATGTTTGACTCTTATCATACTTCATGCCGCCCTCTATCTGTGATATCTTGTTGACACTGGCATCCCAGAGGTAAATGGAGCTGGATTTTGCAGCTATCACTGCCAAAATGTCCCCGTCTTTATCCCAGTCCATTCCAACACAGCGTCTGGGGGAATAAGGAGAAAGAAAAGAAAGTGGAATAAAAAATACTTGTTAATAGCCTAAACTGAAGTGAAAACATAGTTTGAACACTTACCCTGGAAGGTTGAGTTCAGTCCACTTTTGTCCATGCCGATCAAAAATTTTCACTGAGTTGTCCTGGCTGAATAATTAGATATAAAATGCACATTTGATTGAATGAGTTTATGTAAATCCTGTTAGGAAAAGGAGATAATAACACATCTTTTTTAAGACTACATTTCCTACTGGAACAGTTTACTCACCCAGCAACAGCGATGTAATTACCAAGGGATTTCTGCCACCTATAGAGCAGATTAGAACCGGCCCAGGCTTTGTCATCGAGGATAAAAACGCTCTGTGAACACAAAGAAATCCTTTTCAGTAACATCTATTTGCATATCAAACTATTACTCATAACATGGACTGGACTGAAGTTGATTGATTGATTGATTGATTGATTGATTACATTTATTTCAGACACATCAAATAAAATCAAACATATCAAAAATACAAAACAAAATGAAAAGCACAAATATACAATAAACAAAAAACAATGTTCAAATTATTTCACAAAAAAGGAAAAAGAAAATCACATATATTCAATTGATATGCCTGAAAAGGAGTAGGAAGAAGTATAAAACTTATTTAATCCTACCCCTTTTCCACAGCTCAATAATTAATATTTATTAAATTAACTTCCTGTGTTCCTTATAATCTCTCTACATATACAATCTACACAAATTGACTTGAAGGCAACAGGATAAGAGTTTGTTTGGGCAGTTTTTTCAATATGTTATTGGTTTAAGTTACAGACTGTGTGAAACAACAACAATTAACAACAGCAACTCTCTCTCTCTCTCTTCTCTGCTGTTTACATTATTTATCATACCAAGTCACTTTAATCACTTGTCACTTTATCTTGTCATTTTCTGCAAATACTGTCTCAATTCTCAATTCCCCCCAGTTAACTTCATCATTCATTTTTGTACTGTATATACCCCTGTTTTTATTTTTATTTATCTTATCTTTTCTGTTTAATGTATTTTGAGCTTTCTTGTCTGTGCTGCTGTAACGCCTGAATTTCTCCTCTGGGGATCAATAAAGTTTTATCCTATCCTAAATGACAATGTCTTCCCTAAAATATGTCAAAATCAAGTCATTGTTAAGTAACTACTTAACAGCTGAAGATCTATGTTATGTAAGTTTTGTATTGTATATGATGCTGAAGGCTTTATATTAAAGTACATTTAACATTTGCCACTACGTTTAATTTCAACAACACTAAGAAATAAAGTTAAAAAAGCTCAAATGCAACATGAACAACGTTACATCGCCATGGATTAAATGACTTTGACTGCACACGTAAAGCAGGAAACCAACCTGAGTCTGTGTTTTGTGATTCATTGAGATATCTAAGAAGAAGAAGTCTGTTGTCTTTAAAGAATACACTGAAAGGTTTTATTGTTTATCTTTAACTCCAGCTGAGATGGAAAAGCTGGTCCTGAGTACTCCCAGGTTTACACTTATTCACATGAGACAGCTGGTGTTACCTGACTCACCTGAACTACTTTAAAACATTTTAAACTGCTTTAGTTTTGTGTCCACAAGTGGCCTAATTAACACCACCGTTAGCAAGTAGCTAGGTAAACTAGCCGCACAGAGCATTTCCATGTGAAAAACAAAACAAACCCGGAAACAAAAAGCAGGAAATACTGCCGGTGTTTAACATAAACACGCTGATACATACCTTCATCTTAACGGCGCTTTGTTATATAGAGTTTAAAATGATCTTTTCTGTTCAAAACATCTTCGACCAAAACCGTTTCATGTTTCCCACAATGCATCGCCTCGAAGCGTCTTTCCGAGGCGGTGTCATGGCAACAACCATTAGCCAATGAGCAGCCTCTGAATCAGAGCTGAGATGACTGTGATGGAAGAAGATACTATAGGCGTCCTGAACACAAACAGCTTTTTCCTCAAATGAAGTTGTTTTCAATAATTTAATAGTTTTTTTCTACTGTGTTGCCAGTAAACATTAATGTAATAAAAACATTTAGGCTTCTTCCTCTTTATTATTGTGCACAGAGGAAGAAAGTCTTTTGTTTTGCCTCTGGCTATGGCACAAAGTAGTCTGGGTTCAATATATTTTACTATACAGCACATTTTTCATTGATCAATAATATACATTTCAGACAACACCATTTGAATTCCACGCAACCCAATGATCTGATGACTTTCAGACTTAAATGAGCTTGACGAGCTATAGAAACACAAACTTTGATTTCTGACAGCTCTCTATATTGCTCTCTTCTACAAGGATTAAAAGGACAGCATACAAAGAAAGAGCTTTAAATCCTCTACGCGTGTTTACATTTTAATTAAATAAAGGCATCTGAATCTCAATCACTCTGAAAAGTATGAGAAAAAAATCCTGATCTAAAGAATCATTATTTCCTATTTCATTTAATCTATATAATATTTTGTAGTTTGTATCTATTTATTTAAATAAAATAAATAGATATAAACTACAAAATAAAAAATACCAAATGAGGACTTGATCACTCAGATTAAAAAGCAGAATTTTTAGTTTTTCCCAATAATCTGTCAATATGATTTTGAGAAATAATACAAAAAGAGAGCCCAACTATGTATTCTTGTATAGTTAATGTAATTATAACGCATAATATTATTTTACATTCTGTTTTTATATCCGCTCGTACACCTACCATTAATTTTACAGAAAATTAAAACAGTGTCGAAGCATATAGTGTGCTTCCACCACAGATCCAGCAGAGGGCAGCCTCACATAGAGTAAATGACTTAAACAATTCTTTGTCCTTGTTTTCACAATATCTGCCCACTTCTTCTGTTATCCTGCAATCAATTAATAAAGATCTATAAATAAAAGAAACATGATCTTCAGCTCCTCTGACTCTCGACCAAACAGGCTCTCTGTACTATCCCTATAATATATTATTACTTATTACGTATATTTAACATAAACAATTGAGGGTTTTTAATGTCTAAAAATCTGAAAAGGTTGTTTTTTATGTTACAGCAGGGAGACTGACCAGTGTGACTTCTTTATATACTGGACTGGTTTACAGGCAATAAACTGAATTGAACCAAAGGTCATCCCTCCCTCTCTTCTGTTATTTCATTACTGCTCAAAGCAAACACTGGTGGTGACACAGCACCTTCGGTCCTTTCCCGTACTGTACAGAGGTGGAGGGGTGACAGCTTATTTCTGCTCTACAAACCCAGGAGCAGGCGTGAAATGCCAGCTGTGTGACACAAATATTCCCTTTCTGCAGAACACACCCTGCTGACTCAGACCTCATCAGGATGCACTGAAGGGAGCAGCTGCACGATTTCAAAAGCAAAATGATAAAATTAGAGCAGAGAGATGGAAAAAAAAGAAAGATGAAAAAACGGATGTTGGGAAATGTTTCTTTGTTGGCAGAGAGACAATGAATACCAGAGTAAATGAAGCATCACTTTTGCTATTGGATTTTAGAAGTTTCATGCAGGAATAAAGCATGAAACTTCTGATGTTTGCTGCCACTATTTAAACTGTTATTATTGCTTTTATTGTGAAAACGCCTCTGGCCATGTAAAGATCATACTAACAACATTTTTCAGTGTAACATGCTGTACGTAGTCTGTGTCATTTTGTCGCCGCTCTTCATATACACTAAGCTACTGTTTCTAATGTTTCAGCTGAGTGACTGCATCAAACACAGACTTAATGATCGCTCTTCATGGCTGCATCCTTCAATCACATGGAAATGACCTTGAAGTCTTGTCGCTTCAATAATAGAAACCTCCATCCTCAAAGTAAATGTGTATGGCTCTGATGAATGTTTGGCCGAACAGGATGAGGGGTGTAAAGGCTGATGCTAACAGACGGGCCTGTGGGTAACTAATCTGCCCGGTTGGTACAGATGTGTGCACATGTGTGCAGCACTGATGGATATTGTCATTTCACCCGCAGCTGCATGTCTTTATGTTTTTACAGGTCGTTTCTACATTTGTATGTCATGTACATGTGCAGTCAGGCAGTCCAGCACTGTTTCGTCTCCTTCTTGTTCCCGTCAGGCGGTAAGGACTCAGGTGCTGTTAAGGGGGCAAGACAAGGTCACTGGTTCCATTTCTCAGAGCCACCAGGCGCCGTTCGTCTGAGGCGGGTTATGATTTAAAGCCCCGCCTGCGATAAATAACAGAGTAAATCCGTTTTCTTCCGGCTGCTGTCCCGGGGTCACAGTATCTGTAAATCATGAGCATTCCTCTCCCTCAGACACTTGTTTCGCTCCATGAATGCTTCAACCTGCTGCTGCTTTGTCTCTGGCTCCAACCTACAGTGGTAAAGTTAGAGCATCCATACTTAGGAGTAATGAGGTTTCACATTAACCTCCGGGCCCCAGATTATTAATGCAAAGTCATACACAAGTCGGGGGGGGGGCTTCAAACTGCAAAAGGCCACCACTGATGCCTGCTCTGGTGGGGATGCTATTAGAGATAAGAGGCACCTCGAAGTATTCAAATTTACACCATGATGGCATTTATAGTGCTGATGTGACAAACAGAGGCGGCGTGCAACAACAACCATAACATAAAGATGATTTAGTTGTGACTGTTAAACCGTTGCATTAGTGTTTTACACGGGAAATAAAAAACAGAAACAAGAGTTCAATCACATCTGGACTTTACTGTATAAAAAGACAGATAACAGCATATTACAGCAGCACATAGATATATTGTACATCCCTTATTTATACTGTAGAAGAGGAGGTGTTATATGCTGGTACTTAAGGAGGAGATGGGCAGCTGTACATTCTTCATTTTTCTCTTCTTGGTTTGAATTCATGGTACAAAGTGAAACACACAATAACACTCTGCACTTGTACTGTGTGCTGCATACTACAGCATAAAGCAATAAGACTACATACATATTTAATATTTATTTATGTACATCATATACACTAAATACATAGATTGATTTGGAATGTCTTTTTTTATACAACTCTGTTTCCTTAAACGTTGGGACTTTGTGTAAAACGTCCAAAAAAATCAGAACGCGTTGATTGTAGCGGCTTAGATTGGATAATGCCGCACAGAGACTAAGTGGGCCTGAACCTGTGACTCGTTCTTATCCAAATCAAATACAAAGTTTAGATATGTTTGTAGATATATTAAACAAAAACCTGAAAAAATAATTCTAAACAAAAAGTCCATAAGACAATGATCATTACGATGACGGTCAACAGAAAATATTCAAATCCACTCAACCTCTTTGTCTAGCCTCTTGCCTCACAAACGCACAGGTAATCATAAGCCTCACCACGCCCACTGCAAATGATTTCAATTTCACATTCTGTTTTTATTTACATTTTACACAACGTCCAAACTTTTGTTGGAAACAGGGATGTATTTGACCTCTGACTGAATTCAAACTCTCTGACTGTACACAGTGGAGGTGACACGTTTACCTCTGCGCTCATCTAATCTGCTTTGAGGAGAACGACTCTCTAAATAACCACTGAGCAGGTTTCGGTGGTTTGCAGGAGAAGAAGAAAATAGAATAATGCAGTCGTGCATTCGGCCTGAATAAACATCCGCTCAGCTTTGGGGAATCGCACGCCCGCCCCTCTCTGCTTTTGAGATGTCATGCTGGCAAATACGGGAGGCTTTTCAATCTTCCCTGGCTCCTGGGGCGCTTGGCTTTCGGCTGTGTGCTTAAGTGTGTGTGTGTGTGTGTGTGTGTGTGTGTGTGTGTGTGTGTGTGTGTGTGTGTGTGTGTGTGTGTTTATGTGTGTGTGTCCGTGTGTCTGTGAACGGTCCATGTGTGTTTCTGAAGAGCATCCTGGGGGCTACATTAGCTCTAGATCTGTCAGTTCAGACAGGGTGCCTGCTCTGCCTCTCACTGTCAGGAGCTGCTTTTCTGTACACTAAGCACACACAAACACACACAAACACACACACACACACAAACAAAATGGGAGGAGCAGATTTAGCCACACAGGGGAAACGCACATTTACGTATGACATGTACAATAAGTTTACTCAAGCATGAACACATGAGGTCGAAACTCATTTTCTCCGTTGACGTCTGATTGTGTGTCTGCAGCAGCATCAAATCTAATAACGCTTTGAACTCCACATCAAACAAAACGTTACATCGGCTGAACCAGCGTTATTAAATTCAGGGTCTCTGTTGTTCATTTCTGTCCTTGTATCCAATTCTGCCCCTTAAACACAGTGCTGTGTGTGTGTGTGTGTGTGTGTGTGGTGATGAAGTGGGAAAATGGGGATGAAGAGAAAGCAGCGGGGAATTGTGTAGAGAGGGGAAGATTCTCATTTGAGATAAAAATACACTCTGCAGTTTCTGAACATCTGAACACATGTACATGTACACGCACGAGAAAAAGCAGATGGGACAGACGCTGAGCCTGGAAATAGGTGAGTCTTTCCATTCAGGTCTCAACGCAGGGCCACATTTACGCTCTCTATGACTCAGGCTGTGAACCTCATTACAGCTCAAATATGTGAAACCAAAGGAGAGAATATGACGTTAAACAACAGAAGATAAAAGGAAGAGGTGGAATAATTTGCATTTGTGGCTTGTTAAAAATCTTAAAATAAGCTGTACATTACTGACACTCAGTGTGCTTCAGAGGAATATCAAGATTAAGCATCATGATGTGTTTTTGTCTAAAAAAGCATCAGCGTTCCTTACAGTGCTGCAGCTCATAAGGTTGTGCTGATTATGTCAAAAGTCTTTCTTTAAACTGTCAGGGAGAAGGAGCAGGATAGAAATCGGGAGCAGAGCGCTTGCAGACTGCAGCATAAAATAACAGGGAATATGTTAAAATAGCATCAATACACACTATCAGTTCATGTTAGGAAAAGTGAAAGCATAAAATGATGAGGCATCTCAGCCGTCCTGACAACCTCTCTCTCTGTCTCTCTCCCTCTTTCTCTCTGTCTCACTTTTTTGTCAACAGAAATAGAAGAAGCTGAAAGCAGCCGTGTAGGTCTGTAGATGTGTGTGTGTGTGTGTGTGTGTGTGTTTGTCCTACACTGTCTGCAGGAACAATATAACAGGCAAGGGAGAAAAAAAACCCTGTGAGACAGCTGTTCTGTCATGCTCACACAAACACTGCAGATTCTTCTTCATCACGGGTGTCGGTGGTAGTTCACTTCTACAGGAGAGGTTAACAAAAAGTTTGTAATGTGAAGACTCCATCAGAAACCCGACACTCAACACGACCCTAAACATAAAAAAATTAAAAATGATAGGGAGCCGTTACAGGAGAGTTCAACGTGCTTCTGTCAAGGTCTGACACCTGAAGTGTGTTCAGTAATCAGTCTCTCACTTCCTGGTGGCGCTCACATGCTGCCAGGCAGATGGGTTTGCACGTCAGCGGTGGTGAAGAGGAGGGTTCTCTGAGCCGCATCATACCAAGTCCATCACTGGATGTTGTTGTTTTCACAGTCTGACAGCCACCACGCACGCTCCCGCCCTGCCCACACACAGAGGCGCTACCTGCAGACAAAAGAAGAATGACTGTCACAGCTGGACACAAACTGGAGCATCAGTGGATTAAAAGTGAATTTAATATTTAATCAATCACGTCCTGTGAATTCTCTTTTCTTTCAATGAATATATCCTATAGTCAGCTAATATTGTTTGTACTCATGGCTTTCTTAACACATATATGAAATACAACACAGTCAATAACCTGGAAAATGAACTTTTCTGGTGCTCGGTTTGAACTTGAAAAGATCGTCTTGATCATGTCTACATGCCTAAATGCATTGAGATGCTGCCATGTGGCTGATTAAATATTTGCAACAAGCAGTTGAACAGCTGTTCCTAATATAGTGGCCGGCGAGTGTATATTGTAGTATCACGTGCAGACTACCATATTCCGAAAATGCAAAGAGCGGTCTACACATCTACACCACAACTAACAACACCAACACAAACACCACATAAACCACCACAACCACCATCACTAAGAACAACAACAACAACAACATTGAGGTTTGAATTTCTATTGTTTTGTGCAAACATAATAAAAAGATTTAAAGTGGTCAGAGATTGAACCAGCACCACATAACTCATTTAACTGCTAAATCTTTTAACTCTATTTTTCAATGAAATTAGATGTTGGAAATATACTTCCCTTTTTTCAAACACAATGTTACATAGTTTTAGACTTGATCGTTCATTTCAGTTTTGAGGTTTCTTTAAAAAGTTAGTCACTCTTGTGATGCTTTAAAAAGACATTATTTTGAATAAAAAATGTTTGAAAAGTTGACCATTGTTCTGTGACTTATGGCCTTCTCCTGAAAGCTCGGGCAGCGCTGCTAAAAGGAACTTGACCTGAGATTTTTCAAATGTTGTTTTCAAGGTCAAGACTTAATTTAAAAATAAATAGCTAACTGAAGGGAATGTACAAGTGTGTTATAGAAGTACAATTTGTAAAACATGGTGTTGTCGACGACTGCAGACACGTGCTGACTTCAGCACGGCAGGGAGTGAGTATGGATGTTAAACATCTGGCTCTATGAGAAGATTTTTTTTCTGTGGTTGTCTACTCCAGTTAGTTTTTGTGTCTCATATTTCTCCACAGAAATTCAAAGCTGACTTTCAGTCCCCTAATACTAAACTTAACACCCATGTCTTTACAAAAAAAGGGGACGTGATGCTGACAGGACAGAGAACAAATCCTCTGCTTTGTTTGTTTCTGTTACTGACAATGAGCAGAGGATACATTTAATGGTGACTACTTGTCCCCTCTCATCTCAGTTTGTCCTCCTCCCTCTGTATCAGTCTGGTCGATCTCTGCATGTTGTCTCTTACCCACCTGCAGCCCTCTTGTTCTCACCGGGGTGCATGACACCAAAACAGCAGATTTCTCTTGACTTTGGTTGGAAATCCTATTCCAGAGATGAGGTATAAACTGAAGTGCCAAAGACTTTATTTATATGAAAATATCTTTAGAAAATTGTCCTTTAAGCAAGGGCAATTTCAGCCTTAAGAAAACACACATTTACATAGTGACAAAAACATGCCAAGCTTCATGGACGAGGAGCTGGAATAAGGTCAAAATATGACCATGTTTGTATAACACAACTTTATTTGTATTCATCCTGATTTATTTCTTGTTTGGACCAAACTACAGTCAATTCGTCTGTGTAGTCTCAAAGTGTCTGTGAAGACAAAGACGTACTTTAGTCCCCAAGAGGAAATTCAGTTTTTCATTTGACATACACAAAGTCAAGGAATACACAGATACACATGCACAAACACAATCCTGTGAGCGTACATAATGGAGAGACGTCTGAGTGAAGTGCTGCACACTAACGAGCGCCCGAGCAGTTGGGGGATCAGTGCCTTTAATCAGAGCACCTTGGTAATGCTTTGTCTGCACTGTACTGTGTTTGTGTGTGAGTTGGAGGGTGTGTGTGTGTGTGTGTGTGTGTGTGTGTGTGTGTGTGTGTGTGTGTGTGTGTGTGTGTGTGTGTGTGTGTGTACCTGTGTCCATTCATTAGTCTGAGGGTCGTAAGCTTCAACGGTATTGAGGTACACCTGCCCGTCGTAACCGCCGACAGCATAGAGACGGTCGCCAAGGAGACAGACACCGACAGCATCCCTGCTAATACTCATGGGGGCGACTGCCGTCCACACATCAGTCTGAGGGTCATACCTGTAAACACGCCAGCACACACACAGGTTCACAAAAAATGATGGCTACATCAAACTGAGTTTAGTTTGTTGCAGATAAGAATGAAGTAAAATAGTTAAATAAGGTGTCAGAATACAAAATACATTCAAATATAAAATCACAAAAACAGGAAATGAATATTAGTTTCATTAAAATAATAAGCACAAGTAGATAAGAAGTGACGGCGCTTAAGGGACTCGAGACTGAGAGCACCTCAGGTTCTCTGGTCGCTTGATCCACAGGTTGGAGTGTAGGAACTAGAAGCTGCCTCACCCTCCAAACACTCCCATTCCTCATAGACTCAGACTCACCTCTCCACACAGTCACTAAGCCGAGATGCAAGCGATGAAGCTGGAGCATCATGACCTCCGATGGCGTACAGGAAGCCGTGCCACGTGGCCACACCCACACCTCCACGCCTTTTAGCCATGGGAGCACAACCACTCCACCTGAAAAAAAGATTGAAAGCACCAGAAACAAAAGGTGAGAAAAGGCAAAGCAAGGCGAGTTTATTTAGAGAGCACCGATCATAAAGTCAATCAAAGTGTTAGGAACGTTAGAAACATGAAGAGCAATTAAAATATGGGATCAACAGCAAAAAGAAGACATTAATATACCATTTTAATATCCACAAAGTGGGAAATTATTGATGAGTAGTCCTCATTGCACCCGACCATGAATGACAGAGATGAGGTATAAACTGAAGTGCCAAAGACTTTATTTATATGAAAATATCTTTAGAAAATTGTCCTTTAAGCAAGGGCAATTTCAGCCTTAAGAAAACACACATTTACATAGTGACAAAAACATGCCAAGCTTCATGGACGAGGAGCTGGAATAAGGTCAAAATGCGACCATGTTTCCTATCTTCTCGTCTTGCCTTTATTGATTAGATTCTGTCTAACAATCCACCCCAAAACCTCTTCCCCTGGAATTAGACTCACAGTTAGCTCTGTCTGTGTCGGGCACAGCCCAAAGCGACCCCACACAGGGTTGCTGCTGTGGTTGTGAAATCCAGCCGCAGTCTTTACACCTCAACACCTCACCAGTTGTAATTGAGATGCTTCAGACATAATGAATTTGTTTCAGACAAAATGCTACAGAGCACTTCTTTCCATCACCAATAAAACCTAATGAAGGTGCAGCCTCAGATTCTCTGCTCTGTTTAAAATCTCTACAGTGAGGTCCATAATGAATGTGTTGGATAAACAGAAGTTGTTTGAATGTGATCTATTTCTCACATCCTGGGAGGGTTAGCTGTCTCCTTTGATCTGTGGGTAAACAACCTAAAAAGCCTAGAGGCACTTCACTACAAACAACAGCAGGCAGGAAATAAATCAGGAGTGTGCAATTAATTCAGGTCAGATGAAGAGCCCTCGTCTCTGACCTGTTGGTGTGTGGGTCGAAACACTCCACTGATCGCAGGCAGGACGAGCCATCACGACCCCCTACTGCATATAACCTGAGGAGGAGAGAAGATGCTGTTATCTCTGAGGAAACACACACAAACACACACACACACACACACTTCACACCTGCCACATAGAAAAACTGCCAGCATTTCTGGACGCTGGAAGTCCCTTTCCGATTTAGTGACAATAAAACAGATGGTGTAAGGGTTTATTTATGTGTGTGTGTGTGTGTGTGCTGTGTGCAGGTTTTTGGGACAAAGTGAGGTGAGCAAAATCAATCAGCCAGACCTCTCAGGGCATCACACATCCAGCTTGTGTGTGTGTGTGTGTGTGTGTGTGTGTGTGTGTGTGTGTGTGTGTGTGTGTGTGTGTGTGTGTGTGTGTGTGTGTGTGTGTGTGTGTGTGTAGGTATACATGGATGTGGACTTTGGAGGGCAAAATAAAAAGTGCATCAGAATCAGTCAAGCAAGTAATGAGCTCCATCAGGCAAAGAGCCCAGAGAACACACACACACACACACACACACACACACACACACACACACACACACACACACACACACACACACACACACACACACACACACACACACACACACACACACACACACACACACACACACACACACACACACACACACACACCATGATTAGCATCTATGAAGTTTATTTTGGAGCGTCTGTCTGAGGCACTGAATAATAAAACCAACACTGGAATATTGAAATTCTAACAAATGCAAGTCAGTAGAGTGAAGGCTTGAACTTATGAAATGTCACTATTAATATGTGCATGAGTGAGTCTGTGGAGGTCTTTGTGCAGTAGTTTACAGACGAGATACAGAGAAATAAACACCTGTCTGTGAATCATCTAAATTAAGTCTTATTTAATCAAATCTTATTTATGGCTCTTAATAAAAGGTGAAGGATTCACTCTGTTATGTTTCAACTGATCTCCACACCAAGAGAATTTAATTTAACATGTTTATTTGACTTGATTATTTTAGTATGGTTAATAGATTGTTTCTTCTAAATTAGCAACGTGTGATGTGAAGCTGCGTAAAGACAGTTCAACTATTAAAAAGACACTTTTCATGGGACACACACAAAACACTTTGGTGTCCAATTTGGTAAAATCTTAAACAGTTTCTTACGACATGATCTAGCTCACAAATTAATCAATCATGACTCATACATTCATCTTATTCATTCTTCAGATTGGATACAGTGTAGATGTTTGAGGAAATAAAACGAGGGGGTTTTTGAGATCACTTACTTGCCATTGAGTACAGCGACTCCCACTGTGCTTCTGGGCGTCGCCATGCTTGCAACAAAACTCCACTGGCGAGCTTGGGGGTCCCATCTATTAAAAAATCAGGTGAATAAAGTGAAAAAGAATCCATTACTGAACAAAATGAGTTATGAAACATACAGTGCGCTTAAGATATTGTATTGTCAGTTTGCATCATCTCTCAGCAGTCTCTGGCTCCTTTGTCACTCGTGATCCTCCACAGAAACTGCTGACAATCGTTTTATTTGTTCAGTTTCATCCTGAGGGAAATTCCCTTTGAACTTTCACCTCAGTGTGTTGGGATGGAGACAAAAATATCCGAGAGAATATCCTAAAACTTCGTCAAATCGCTCGTAAATAATCTGATTGGCTACGTTCCACAACAGGTAAAAGGCCAAATATGAACATATCTTATCGTATTAGTGTGTTATCTGATCCTTTAAAGAGCTGTCTCTTACCTTTCCACAGTGCTGAGGTAGCTCCAGCCGTCATGTCCTCCCACCGCGTACATGGGCCCCTCTAGGACAGCTACACCTGTGATACACAACCACACACGCCTCATTAAATCATGGCAACGTACCAAGACACAATCAGCTTGGACAGGCAACCAAAAACACACTGGACAAGAGTTTTTTATTGTGTGTGTGTGTGTGTGTGTGTGTGTGCAAATACACTCTTGGCTCCAGGCATGCAGAGTTAGCAGCATGTTGACACCTTCATATTTATCTGCCAGCGCATCTGTGGTGCCAGATGTGAGTTTGAATATTCCCCTCCCTTACATGCACACACTTGATAAAACAATGACACACCAGAGCAGCGCAGGTTGCCCTTTCTCAATGGGGAGACTGACTTCAAACAAAAATACACGTGTTCAGTTCACACTGTTAAAGTGCTCTGTGAATCTCTCACTGCAGAGATGCTGTGAAAAGAGCTTTGGGTTTAAAAGGGGTCCATCTTTTTTCTTTCATTATAAATGAAAATGAAACCTTAATTTAAACAAATAATCTTAATTTGGTAGCATCTTGACAGTTGAAATCTTAATAAAAAGACTTTTCTGGACCCTAATTAGCTTCAACTGTGTTTTTATGACATTTATGGAGTCACACTTGCGAGCTGGTTTCAGGCAGGTAACTCGGGCTGCACTTATTTTACATCATCATGAGTCATTCTCTTCACTTTACAAACACATCCACCCACTGTGGCCGTCTATTTAAGCTGCAAGATTTCCGGTCTCTCCGGCTCTGCTCTGTCATTTGTACTCTCGCTTCCAGCCCCAACACCTTCTCCCCATCCACCTTCAGGCTCCCTCTGACTAAACGTTTTCAGATACCATCTCGTCCCTTCAATTTCTAGATGTAAAACACTCAGTGGGGAGTGATGACGTCAGAGGCTAGACACTAAACACAAACGACGCTCTGCTGCTGCAATTAACATTTCAAACCATTACAGTTGTGAGTCGACTGTTCAGACAGGTGACTCACCTAAGCCGTGCCTGTGCGTGGACATGGGAGGCATGACGCTCCAGGTCTTGCTGTGCGGGTTGTAACACTCCACAGTGTTGAGGGTCTTGAGTCCATCTCGGCCGCCCACCACGTACAGACGACCGTCAAGGACAGCTACACCGAACTGAAGTCTCCGCCCACTCATGGTGGCCACCTGCCTCCACGTGTCCTGACGCAGACAGTACTGCTCGATACTGGTCGCACCTGCTCAAAACAACACAAGAAAAAAATCTGTCATTTAATTCGCTCAATTCTTTTAAAGGTTAGATCTGCTCTGTTATGTAGATTTGGTTCCTATGGCTACATCAGACATTTTTCTTTGCTCTCCATTCTCAAAAACTGAATAATACCAACAAACCAGACCGGGTTACCTACACACAGGACGTCAGGCGACATTGAGAACACTTTTCATTCACTCTGCACCAGTAGACTTTTCATAGAAACACAGAGTCTGCAGGCACACATGGATCAATTATCTGTTTATTATGATCAACACTGGCATGATTGCAAGATAAAGGCCTACTTATTATGTGACAAAATGTCTGTGTAAATTGCTTTCTGTTTCAACACAAAGCGCTGAATCCTTCTGCAGCCACAGGGTGAGGAACGAGGGCTGCAACAAATGATTGCTCTCGTTATCGATTACTCTGGCCTTTATTGTCTCCGTTCATTGAATGTTTGAAGGTGTTGCAGACAAATCACAGCGACCTCAAGCCAAAATTAAAATGCACAAATGACTTTTTTCTTGTTTGATCTGTGGTGCAAAATACACTGATATTTATTTTAATGTCATAGGAAGCAAATGGTGTTTCCACAGATGTTCATAAAGCCTGAAAGGTTTCGGACATTTTCAGAGTGAGCGCAAACAGACACATTTTTCACCCCAACTTTACCAGGATTTTTTCCAGCCACCCGCCTTCATGTAAGTAAAATTTCAGCGTGAAGTCAAGATAAGCTGATGTGTGATTGTTGCAATCGATGTGCAAGTTTAAACGTAGCTTCACACTCTTCTTGGCTCGCCAGTACGATCTTTTCCACTTGTTTGTAGCATTGATGTAAAAGCAAAAACTGTCATGGTGTTTGACTCTGTCGCTTCGGCTGCCACCTTTTTGCCTGATTTATTGCCTCCTGAGTATTATTGTACTGTGTGGTTATGCATTGTGTGATTGTTCCACCTTTTGTAGCGTCCATGCCTCCGACAGCAAACATGGCTCCTACGGTGGCCTTGCGGGGACGAGTGCGGGGGCTCTGGAGCAGGGGCCGCCGCTGGGGCAAGAGGTGATACTTCATCCCCTCCATCAGCAGCCGCTGGCACTCGATACTGTCCCGCAGCAGAGGGTTTGACTCCAGGTCTGCCAGAAACTACACAAACACACACAACCACATCAACAAGCAGTAGAAACAAATGCAGGGTGTGTGTGTGTGTGTGTGTGTGTGTGTGTGTGTGTTTGATCTTATCACTGATTGAGGAGATCTGAGAGACAGAACAAAGCTGTTCTCTCATTGATTGAGAGATTAGATCAGCTCAGACCAGCAGTCATTAGTTTGTACACACACTCATACACAAGAGCAGACACACACTGATCATCAGACACACGAGAGGACTAATCTGTCCTCAGCATCTCATCAACTTAGCCTGTATCCTCTAACCTCATATATCATCACACACACACACACACACACACACACACACACACACACACACACACACACACACACACACACACACACACACACACACACACACACACACACACACACACACACACACACACACACACACACACACACACACACACACACACACACACACACACACACACACACACACACACACACACACACACACACACACACACACACACAGACACACACAGAAACAGCCCGGAGCTGCAAAGCACTTCACTCCACCAGTCTGTTCCTTAAAATACATTCACAGGAAATCACTGCCTGTGAGAGCAGCAGGCTGGTAAGAAGCAAGTTTTCCCTGAAGGCAAGACCGACATGATTTACATTTAGATAGGTGTGTGTTTGTGTGTTTGTGTGTGTGTGTGTGTGTGTTAATAAATGGTTGCAGAGGGAAACAGTTTTTCTTTTTATAAAAGTAATTTAAAGTTTCCAGACTATGTGTATCCTCGCATGTCTAAGTTGGCTGAAGCTAAGTCAGAGGGGACGCTCAGATGTGGCTGTGAAGATTCAATCACGGAGACGGAGTATAATAGATATTTGATCAAAGACTAGAAAGAGAGTATTCAGGAAGACAACAGGGGAAATTATTTTACACCCTCCTTTTGCTCCATAATGCCACCATGCAAAAAGAAAGATTCGGCCTAAATAATTCCATTTGGTCACTGAATATAAAATCAATTTTCTCAGCCAGACGTGGCGAGCGTAAAGCGAGCGTGCTAAATGGATAAGCAGCTTACACACCAGGGTGAACACACACACTCCCATTGCATTCAAGCATAGAGGGACACATTACAGTGAACCCTGTTTGGGCATTTATTTGTGTGTGTGTGTGTGTGTGTGTGTGTGTGTGTGATAAAGAAGGACAGAGACAGAATATTAGCTTAGTCCTCTCCTGTGCTATTTAAGCATCACGCTGTGAAGGACTGAACATGGAGGGCGAGATAAGACTGCATCCTGCAGGCGTCCCACCTTCTCCTCTCTGTCCTCTCTTTACCTCACAGCGAGCCGGAAGAAAGGAGTGCTCCCCTCGCTGTTTGAACCAACAGACACACACACACACACACACACACACACACACACACACACACACACACACACACACACACACACACACACACACACACACACACACACACACACACACACACACACACACACACACACACACACACACACACACACACACACACACACACACACACACACACACACACACACACACACACACACACAACACACATCTTTTATTTCCCTCACCAGTCAGAACTTCAAACCATCAGCTTCTATCTTGACTTTTTATACGCCCCAAATCGGGCACCTTAAAATAGAGCCAAACATATGCGCCCATTCATTGATGAGTCACCCGACTCAAAATTCAAATTTGTTTAGACAACATTATAAAATCATTTAGTTCTAATTTAGTTTATTTTCTAAATAAACTAATACCAAGACAATCCTCCTTATGAACTTGAAAAGGAACTCACAAAGAATCTTTGGTGAGGATTTGGTGAAAGTGTTTTTTTTTATCATTGTCTGATGTTTTTTAAAACCAAGGGAATATCTGAGAAAATATGCAACAGATTACTTTATGATCATTGTTGATGATGACACCCACACAAACGTTTACTGCTTGATTAACAGGCAACAGATGCTCATCGAGAAGATTAAACCAAGTCTGTGTGTGTGTGTGGGGTGTGTATGTGTGGTGTGTGTGTGTGTTTAATGGGGAGAAAGGATTAAAGGTATTAATTTGGTGCACTGACATCCCTCTTGATGAGAAATCTCACAGCGGCCTACATAGAGAGCTGGCTAATTGGTTGATGAATATTGATTGGCTGTGTGTGTGTGTGTGTGAGGTATGGCATGTCACAGCTCATGAGGTTGTTGAGTGGTTAATTCATTAGCCTTTGTCATATGATGGTGGTGTTTTGTATAACACTGCTGAATAAACCTCAGCTCTGTGTGTGTCCTGCTGTCCCTCTCTCCGCTCCTGTTCCTCTGCTTCACCTCTCTGCCATCCATCTTTTCCCCTGATTACATGTTACAGCTACTTGTGATTTCAGCTGACCAGGGCAGAGTCATTTATCTGTGTACTGCACGTGTGCACAACCTGGGAGACGTGTAGACGCAGGCGGAGAAGATGGAAAGAGGAAGCAGGAAGGAAGGAAGTGGATCTTTATCTCTGCAGTCTCTATATAAATGGTGGGGGAGAAGACTGATGAGGGAGATGGAGGGAACAGATAATTTAGCTGCAGTTAAAAGAGATTTCACACTTAATTAAGGTTTAAAAAGTTTGTGTATCTGTGTGTGTGTGTGTGTGTGTGTGTGCATCCAGCGCCTTAGGCAGTAACTGAGCTTCTGCCTGGCATATAAACCTCTCAGCATCGCATTACCAGTGAAGACACTCTGCCACACAAGCCCAGAAGAAGAGAGAGGAGGAGGGGGAAAAGCAAAGGAGAGACGCACACAGCATCTAAAACACTCAAGCATAAATATAAACACACTCACAGACCTGACAAAGTGATGATTGTGATCTACTGTTTAATCCCTCTAATTGCCTCAGGGGCTAGGTAGTGGAAAAAGACCAGCAGATCATCAGGGGGGAAAACTGACACAAACTGTGACCTTGTGGGTAGCTGTGCAAGACAGCAATGCATGAACAAAAAAAGACAAAGCTACATCTCAAAAAAAGGACAAAAACCTCATTAACACAGGAGATACTAATGTGCACTTGTTATTGTATGTACAGGGTGGAGACAGAAGATAAAGACAAACATAGACAGGCTTGTAAGCTTTTTGTTTCACAGGTGTGATGAACGTTATTATAGGGTATAAGCAGTGATGAAAACTAACCCAGATTAATAGCTGCTTTGGCATAACATTTTTTTAAACTCAGGCTCCAATTTACAAAAGGATTGAAGGGTTGAAATTCTGTAAACACCTGCGAGGGGTGAAATGCATCCATTACTGCCAAGCAAGAAGTGTGCTGAGCTTTGGTCAAAATATAACATGAATCAAGCACCAGAGGAGGTTTGTGACCCTGTATAATCCAGCTCTCTCAGAACGCTCTGTTTTGGTGTGTGTGTCTCTTTAAATGCAATGAGCCACGCCCCTGAGTTTTCCCTGTAGACATCACTCCTTCGCTAGCCAGAATAAAAATGGCGGACCTGGGCAAAAGTTTTGTTCTAGGCTGGGGGTGGAGTCCATGGGTGGAGATACCAGGGGAGGGGAGGGGATTTTAAAAAAAAACAGAATCCCACTGTGATGTCACAAGGAGAGCAAATTCAAAACGGAGCATTTTTCTCTGTGTTGTAAGACTTATGCAGACTACAAACAAAGGACTGGATGGGTTTATTTCAGATTTTGTGGGTCTGTAGACACTCAGGGTACACAAATATATGTTCAAAAACACTGTACAAGTGGATTTTTCATAATTTGTCCCCTTTAAAACAGTCAGGTGTATTAGTCACTGGCAATCTTTGCTGTTGAATAAATAAATAAAAAAGGCTGTTTCTGTTTCCTCAGCGTGCTCGGCTGACACCGACAGTGGTAGAGGTTCCAGGCATTAAAATTAACTATACAATTAGTCAGTCTGGTCAGTGATGGTCTTGTTTGCTTTTTCTTCTTTGTGGGTCACTTTAAGGCATCACAAATCATTTGAGTCTGTTTCAGAACGACATTAAAAACTCCTCACAGGAGCTTTAAATGAGGCAATATGAATACCATCGGCCCAGAAATGGCCCTGTCATGAAAATGAGCAGAATTCAAATAAAGTCCTATTCAAAAATAACAATGCTTATAGACAGTTAGAACAAATAATAATTGCACCCTCAGAGAGTTTATGGTAACTGAAGCATTGTGTGCTAATGGCAGCAGTGATAGGAGACTGGAAAATGCATAATCATGCCAGGAGTGCTTGTGAGAGGAACAAGAGAATAACACTTTTTGATTTATCTGCAATTTTCCTGCCAACTGTGTTCTTAGATAAAGTCACCATTGATACTTCCAAATGGATAATCACACTCAGACACATAACTAGGGCAACGCTGCTGCAAAACGTTACTGAGGGGGCTTACATTGTTTTATAAATATGGGGTATTTTTATGAATCCCATATTGAAAGGGAGGAGATGGTAGTTGCAAGTACTGCACAATTAAGGGTGTGATAATAACAGTTAAGAAGACAATATAAGTCTGGATTAAGGTTTTTTAAGAGACAAATGTCAGTTGTGTTTCTGGACATTCTCCTTTCGCTCTGTTTTTAGTCTCTTTGAAATGCCCAATTAAAATGAGGAAGAAATTCTGCTCCTTAGCTGCTAAAAGCTCCACTATGTCAAACTGTAAGCCTCAAACTGAGTCCGTCTTCTGTCAAGAAGGAATCACAGATTAAGGAGCTAAACTGATTTTCTGCTAATGTGGTGATTATTCTCTGTATTAAAATCCTAAGAGGCGACCTCCTGACACTGTTTCCCACTCTCAGCTCTCACCTGCGGCTGCAGCAGAGGCAGTCGGATGTGAGCCATCAGCATCGGTAGGTGACGTTGACGTGTGGCAGTGTCATGTCCGACCCACGTTAGCAAGGACGTTACCACGGTTTCCTCGTCGGGCACGTTCACGTCTTCAGACATGAGCAGCCTCTCCATCTCCTCCATCGGGAGCAGCAGGAACTCCTGGCCTCCCACAACATCTAGAAAGTGTTCCTGTTGAACAGAGAGGTGAAAGCAAAATAAGAACTGAGAAGGAAAGGGGCGGAGAAGACTCAAAAAGATTAATGGGTGGATGAATAATGAAGTGCAGAAAAAAAAAGGGAAAGAAGGGAGGGAAACCAATTGGAAGATAGGAGCTGAGGGAGGAAAGGGATCAAGGGTTGGGAGGAGAGAGAATAAAAGGGAAGGAAATGAAGGCTTGAGAAAGGTCAGGGGAAGATGGATGAAAAGCTGCAGACAAAAAAGGGTGTAGATGTGAAAACGCTGAAATAATTCAGTAGAGGATGAGCAGGATTCTTGAGAAGAATCGTGCTGCATTACTTGTATTCTTAATTAATCTTTTCATGTTTGGTCTATAAGGTGTCCCACAATGATTACATGTCAATCATAACTCCTTAAAGCACAATGTGACATCTTGAAATAGCTTTTTATGTCCCACAGCTCATTAAAAAACAAAGACATTGACTTCTATGACAAAGAAAATCATCAAAATTAAAACCATTGGAGCCACAGAGCTATTCATTTAATCATTTCACATTTAATTATGTGTAAATGGAAAGAAGAAGTAGATGTTAAAAAAGAGGCTATGATACAACACATGCAGTACATGTTCTCAGTGTTAAGACACACAGACTGCATATAAAGAGCGAGGCTGGTGGCGCGAAACGTCATGAGGCGAGAGGTCTCCAAGCTGCAGCCACACCCGTCTCTGAGGAACCAAGAAACTTTCTCTTTCACTGCTCTGCTCGACCCCTCTGCTTGTAATAGTATCTGTCAGCAGTCTGCTTGTGAAGTTTTCAGCGTGTCTTGGAGAAAGTGTTTCTTTGGTTGCGAAGGAAAGTCAAAGCTTTTTTTCTCTCCCAGAGGACGAGAGTACAAGAGAACAATGTCTCGTCTCAACTTGTATGGACAGAAAGTCAACAAGCTATTTGGGCTTTGTCGAAACATAGTATATACTTATACAAGTGTTCTGTTTTTTTTTAGAGTGATGAAGTTGGTGGGAGCGTCCACATGGAAACGGAAGGGCTGAAAAGAGCACTATAGCATCTCAGGAAAGTCACTATAGAAAATTACTATTATTGTTTTATCAGCTTGACTTCTATATGAAACTATAAGTCAGTAAGTTTAATTCCTTTTTCCTTCTCAGGTTTGTCCAAAAATCTGTCGAGCCTGGCAAAGAACGAAGAGTGTCTGCTGGTGTCTAAGTGGTTGCCTTCCATCAAAAATCACATTTACTGGTCAGCGACTTCTTCAAAGACCGGGCCAGAGAAGGTGGCAAAGTGGACGTCTCTGATAAATCACATTCAGGATGTCCACACACACAAAGACCCCCTCTATCCCAAGTGTACTCACCCTGAGAGAGTCTCTGGAGACCCCAAGAAGTGGTTTCAACCAGGTTTGTATAAGTACATTTTCTTTCTATTCATTACTATCCAAGGAGAATTGTTACAGTAATGTATATAAAGAATCACTCTTGGATAAAAATGTGTGTGAGGGGAAAAAAAGGAATCAGCTGCAATGCATTTTAATGAGAATGCAGAGCGGGAACAAGCCAAGAGTGTAGAGGGCAAACCCGTCTACAAGATGCTGTTTGAAATATCCAGGAAGGGAAAAGTGACAGCACAGCCCGTCAAGACAGAGCTCACATTCAGTGAGAAAACTTGTTTTATTATAAAAAATAAAGAAAATACATAAATGCATTTCAATTCACACTTAAATTAACATACAGTCTTTTATAAATAAAATAAATATCTACAATTTCAACATTTGTATTTTTCAGCGTATGTGAGCGACCTCATGACACTGCTCTTTGAAGAGGTATTTGATGACCCCGCCACCTACGTCGAAGAGCTGAAGAGAATCAACATCCCAGAGGAGCTGAGGGCTTAGAATGAGACACCCATAAAGGAGGAGGTCATCGCCGGGCGCACGTCCCGTTTCTACTGGAGGGGCGGCCAGAACCCATCATAGTGCCCCGCTGGATACTCGGAATCTGAAACTCCACACGGAGAGATGACGACCTTTACATGTCTCCTGAGGTTTCCCCGGCAACAGCTCACAAAACTTCTGTACGCGAGGAAACGATATGATCTGGAAAATAAAAAGATGTTATACTGTTATAAATATCTTGTGTTATTTCTTGTAAATAAAAAGCGTTTATTGTCTTACTTCAGTGTTATTTTCGTTTTCAAACTGGGGATCATCCTTTCTAAGATATATGGGAAATGTTTTAATTCCAAATAATAATACAACTCTGGTAACATGATGGCAAAACTTCCTCTTCCTCTATTCTCCTGCTCAGAGGTCCATTGTTTCTGCAGGGTGTGTTATTCTTAAGTTTCTATTATTATTATATGCACTGATTCAGTTGGGTTTCAGGTCAGGATGCTCATTCAAGTTGGGGTGGATTGGCACCTGGTTCATTCATCTCAACACTTAAAAACTAAAAATATGTTTGTGTCAATATAACAGGTATAAATGAGAGAATAGTACAGTGGGTATACAGGTTAATAAGAAATAATAGGTAGTGATTCGGATGAAGTCGTAAGAAAATGAGCTCCATTATAATCCTAATAAAACAGTTAAGCTCCAGCAGAACTTTGCTGTCAAAATGAGGCCTTCCCAGAATATATGTCTATATTCCAAGATATCTATTACCAAACAAAAAAGAACTTTGAGTCATATTTTACTTCAACATATACAGTAAATGTAACACTAGGTGAAGGAAGATCATTTAAGAGGAGCAGAGAAAAATCTTTCTAGCTATCGAACCTTCGGTGTTTCCTGACAGCAGAGGTTTTCAGCCTCACTCTGTGTTTTTTTTAAAACATTTTCCAGAGGTACGCCTATTACCAGGGGGAAGAAAAAAAATGAACCACATTCATGTCACCTTGTAACTGAATTCACTTAGGTAATAGCTGCTACTTACCAAACTGAGACGTCTTCTACATTGCTGCGGCTGATGTTCTCCAAAATGTCCCGGTCAGATTCGGGGTCCAATGCGTACGGTTGTATTTCACAGTTACACATTTTTAAAAGCGAAAAGCTGGAGTCCGTTATGACGACAACACAGGAAGACGCTGACGTAGCGGGCCTGACCAACTGCCCCGTCAGAAGGCTCACAGTGAGCTAGCCATTCAGAAGAAAGTGGCCATGTGGGGAGGGGGGCCTTAGAGAGAGAACAGCTGAAATTAACCTTTCCAGGAACGTCTGAAATTGGGGATTTTATGGACGCCAGAGAAGATAAATAAGACGTTTTTTTTTAGCTTTAAAAGATTCAAAGCTTCTCTGTACGTGTTACAGGCTGACAACATGAACGGTGAGTACAATACGAGATCTTTAATGCGTGGTTCTTTCCGTGCTCTGTCAGCATCCGTAGTGGATGTTTTTTGGCTTCACTTCACAACGGATGGAAACAGAATCGACGCCCATATTTATATACGATCAAGGGTTAGACAACATTATGTTCTGTAATTGTTCATAGCTGTGTTAACTGTGAGGGTACTGAAGGCAATTATCTCTTCAGAGATATTTATCATCATTATACTCTGACTGTAAAGTTTAGCTATTAAAGACATGTTTTCTTTTTTCATGTAATTGATTTTTTTAAATAATTTTGACATGTGGGAAAAAGAAAATGGGACTGACTGTGTCACATAATGTGAACATTTAAAATTATGAACAAAAACACAATCCATCCATTCACTCCGTAGTGTAGTTCCAGCATATGCACAGTTATAATATTTTTGAGCTGTGTTTAGTGTGTGAATGAGTGTGTGTGAGAGAGAATTACAGAGACAAGCAGACAGTCACACCCTGAGAAAGCAACCTCAACGACCTAATTACCCCAGATTAAAGTTGAACAATAATCCACTTAAGAGAGAAACACAGAAATGAAGGGAAGAAAGAAGCTAGCTGACATTGACTGTGACTGACACAGAGAGGAAGGCAGGGTGGAAATAAAGAGACGCTTGAAGCAGACGGGGTAGAACACAAAAAAAGGGAAAATAATAAATAAATAAAAAAGGTCGATGGAGAAGCTTTTTCACAGTCACCATAGCAACCCCTGAAAAAAAGCCATTGTGTTGATAATGGTGTGTGGTGCATTGAGAACGGGGGACCAATTTGTTACCAAGAATAACATCAAGGCTGAAAAATGACCAAAGTCTGACCAGAGGAAAGTGCACAGAGGTAGAGAAGGGGAGGTGAAAGAAGCCTGTTTAATCTTGTAACATTATATGTTAAGAATTGAACTCCACCTTTGGTCGACCTGGACTTACATCTTTCATAATAATCACCCTATTTAACCCATCAGTTTTTGTTTCATTCATTCTCTCTACAGTCACTGGAGTTGTACCCACCATGGTGTAGGCGTGGGCGGCTATCTGCAGGTCGTGGCAGCCCTGGGCGTCGGCGTAGGAGCGGATACCCAGACAGTTAGACGGGTGGAGCTGCTTCATCAGGAACGAGCAGCAGGCCTGAACCACCGACGTCAACTGGAGCAGACAGGACGCCGACAGCAGAGACTCGATGGTGTCCTCCCTCAACTCCAGACGGCCTGGATAAGAAGCCAGGCGGTCAGGTGGCATTCAAAAAAGACAGAAGCTTCAACGTATCAACCAACTCAAACCATCATAAGAGATATTCATTATTTATAGCGGTGAGACTAAATGAATAGAATTAGTGAGTACATGCAGGCTGCTGAAGTTGGTCAGCCGGAGAAGATTTGAATGCCAAACCAAAACCTTCTAAAAGTTAAATACACCTTCCCGTCCCCACTGGTTTACATTTACTGATGGAGACGTTACAAACATTAACAACAGCTGGAGTATTTTTCCCTTTTTGGTGTGTGGCCTCAAACCAATTTGTCCTTAGTGATATTTACATATTTGTAAAAACGGATTTAACATTTAAAGTTAGCTAGCGATGGCGTGATGTCTACTGGGAAAACTCGGGGGGGGGGGGGGTGTCATTGCATTTAAAGAGACACACACACCAAAACGGAGCGTTCTGAGAGAGCTGGTTTATACAGGGTCACAAACCTCCTCTGGTGCTTGATTCATGTTATATTTTGACCAAAGCACAGCACAGACGTTTCATTTAGACCACAGGGGGAGTGTTTGAAAAGTGGAAAAGGGGGATAATATATCCTCTTTAAAGGTTAAAAGTAAGCGCTTTTCAATTACCGAAGTCTTTGTATGAGGCTTTGCTTCTTAACAATATGGAAAATACAGAGAATCAACAGCTAATTTAAAAGTAATTCATGATTATTCTTCTCAGCGCTCTGACTGCTTTGATGTACCTTTACATTTAAGAACATTTACCTGCACTGATTTCCCATCTTACATCGTAGCAGGTCTGATAGTGACCGATACATCATGATGTGTAATTCGCTCTAGAGAAAGAGAGAAGCCACATCCTTTTTAAATCATGTTTTTTTTCCAGTGTGTCTGTGTACCTGTGTATGCATACTGCACCAGGACCCACAATGCATCAGGGTCCACTCCTTCCATCTTCACCTCGTCCTGCTTGGCCTCCCTGACATCACTGGTAAACATGGCTGCAAAGTAGTCAGACACGGATGAGAGGACCAATCTGTGAAGGAGAGCGAGAGAGTCAGGGATTAGTCAGAGAGGATGGACGCCCGCTGTAATGGAGGGGCGGGACACTTTGACCTTGCTGACAGGACAGGAGTCTGGAGAACTGTGAGGGAAAAGATGCAGAAGAGAGAGGGAAAAGATGCAGCGTGAAAATGATGACACACAACCAGACAATACACGACGTTATCATCCCGTAAATGAGTCATAGAGGTGATACTCATCAGACACACTTTAAAGGCATCAGCAAGCTTCAAAATCAAGACCATTTTCCACCACATCTCTCTGACGTGGGAGCTGAGGGGGGGCAGTTACCATTAAACACAACACTGACACTCACTTCACACAGCTGTGCAGGGTTGTGAAAGTAATAAGTGTCCCTCTCTTTCAAGCTTATTTCTGATTATTTACTAAGGATGTCACAAGACCAGAATTTTAAACTCAGATGTTACTTGCAAAAATCCAATTATATTGATACTCGTTTTAATACCAATACAAATAGAATCCTACGCATCTACTGAGTAATTTCTTCTTTCAAATGACTGTACACTGTCTGAAATGCACGATGAAACGTTGATGATGTTGGTGCAATATAGACAGCGCTCTCTCTCTCTTTCACTCGCAGCAACTTTTGGTTAAAAGTTATGACTCAAGATAGATATTTTAAGCTCTGGTACTTTTGACACAATCAATCATGTAAATTAGGAGATCGTGTTGTTTTAAAACACATTGTAGTGACCAATTTTAACAAGCCCAATATTGTTTAAAAAAGTCACTTGAGGGATGCAGGTGGAAGCTTTCGGACGCGTGCTTACCTTGAAGACATCAACACAGTCCATTGATGTTGTGATTTGGATATTTCAATCCATTTATTTTTAAACACTTCTTATCAAATAAAGGAAAATATGATGAACCACTACGTCTGTCAATAAAACAAACAAATCCGCTTTGGATGCGTTTAACTCCGACAGGCTGACACGGTAAAAAAACTGTTTGCCTCCATTCAATCACCTGTCCCACCTCACCTGGAGCCTTGCTTTAAACGCAGCATCCGCCCAGGCTACACATAGTGCCCAGTGGAGGGCCAACACACACAACCATAAAGAAAATACCATGACACAAAACAAACACATCATTTGGCTCCAACACACGTCTTATTGAAAAGTACTGAACCATCGAACATTTTTACAACTTTACTCTTTACTAAACTATTTGAGTCACTTTTCAAGTAAACAGTTTGAAATCCTTCCAGGAGAAACTTTGTTTTAATGTTTGCAAAAAAAAAGCTTTTTATGCCTTTATTTTAAAAAAAGTGAATAGAGTAAGAAATCAGGGAGAGAGAGAGAGAGAGAGAGAGAGAGGGGAGTGACAAGCGGGAAAGGAGCCACAGCACCGACTTGAACCAGGACAGCCCACCTGGAGGACTCCAAGCCTCCGTACATCGGGCAGGCTCACAAACTTCCAGACCACCAGGAGAAACTTTTGATTTTTCTCCTCCTTTTTTTCCTTAAATCAAGGCAGGATCACATATCTCCTCTCTTTCACTTTTCCCGTTACATGTGACAGATACTTGGCCTCCTGATGTTGTTGGACAGCTCCAGTTATATGAATCAGTCGTCTTCCAGGAAAACCTACAACTTACATCCTGTGCTAACATATATTAAAGTGGTTGCATACATTTAAAATGAAAGCTAAGAAGAAGCGTACAGTATAGTGACAGGAATTATAGCATCTGAAGCATTCTGATGCAGGTGTGGAAGCAGAAGCTGAATCAATACGCTGTGTGTTCATACAGAAAGTCTGTCTATGTCTGCCCTCAAAGACAAAAGGGGGTTGGGAGAGGGGGCGGGGCACTTGCAGCCCCGTATGTGTGAGTTTTGTGAGCTTGTTTAGCAGAGGTGTTAAAAAAAAAAAAAAAAAAAAGCAACCGCAGGAGGTGACAGTCAGAGACCTGTTAATGGTCATGTCACAAACATCCGTGGCTTCTTTAGAACATAGTTTCAAAATGTATTTTGAGAAAACACACTTCCCCATTTTCAACTTGTTCATAATGAAATTCCAAAGGTGTCAAAACCTTTAGAGGGTCAGAGTCAGATATGAATAAAAAGACATGTGCATGTCTTTCAACATTACTACCTTTGATCTCTCTCAGCGTTGTGAGAGGCTGAGAAGGTGTGCTGAAAAAGAAAGTAAATGGATTTGTCATTATTTCTGTAAGTAGAAGGGGGACAGCGTGTAGATATGTGCTCCACACTGGATTCAAAAATGACCCTTTAGTGCTTGTTATATTAAATATTGAATCACCATGTTCCCCTTACAGAATGAAATACTTTCCAAATAGGGCTCTCATCATCTCTGTGTGTATTCCTCTCTCTGAAGAGATGTTATTAGAGGCAGAAAAAAAACAAACAAAAGCTGAGCACGGGCCCGAGGCATCTCCAGATGTTTGTGCGCAGTGAGCATATTGAGGATAAAGAGAAAGGATGTCCTCGGAGGGGAAAGCTTCTTATTCAAACTGTGTTGGACGATCTTTTTCCCCCTCAATGGCAGTTAGGACGAGGGTTTTTAATATCTGATGTGCTTTGTAATAACATGTGTAATGAGGGAGTTTGACCCTGAAGTTGTTTCATCATTTAGGGTGGTTTATCTTCACAAGCAGTTTGACATTAAAAGGTCTCGCTAGAGTAGGAGTAACTGAGCGAATATTCTGCGCAATGTACATCAGATGCATTAAAGGCGAGCAGCTTTGCTTACAGTTACACAGTTTATAAGTGTATTTACACTCTGGGCTAATGAAGCGCTCAACGAAAAAGTCTTACAAAATGAAAAAATAAGACCGGGGTGCCGGTGGTCGAGTGGCTAAGGAGCTCGACACATGTACAGAAGATGTAGTCCTCAAACCGGACGGCCCGGGGTTCAAATCTGACCTGTGGCCCCCTCCCTGCATGTCCCCACTCTCTCTGTCCCTGATTCCAGACTCTATCCATTGTCCTATCTCTACAATAAAAGCATAAAAAGCCCCAAAAACACATCTTTAAAAATAGATAGAAAACAAGGCCTTTCTTCACTCAGGTCAGTATACTAAACTGTTATTCTGCTCATACAATCGAAAGCCCCCCCCCCTAAAAGTAAAAGAAAACTCCCCATTGTCTTCATTTCTTCTGATCCTTAGTTAACCATGGTTTGTTATTTCACATAACAAATATTTTTTTTAAAACACAGAATTCCCAGAAGAGTCTAGAAAACAATAAAATAACAGCAGCCAGATGAAGTCCTGGCACGCAGAATAAAAGACATGCCAATGCGTGCAGTGAGAGAGAGGAGATTATTTAATTTGCATGTGTCAGTCTCCGCAGCTGAGCTCAGGGACGAGAGGGAAAGTTACACGGACAAGAGAAGGAGAGAGCAGAAGGAGAGAGGGATAGGCTTTAAGTTAGGTCAGTGTAGAATTTAGTGAGCCTGACGAAGAAGAGATATGGCTTAAAGGAGGCTAGACCAAGGACGGAGAGGAATTAGCTTAAGGTCACTTGTAAATATTTTTCAATTCCCCTTTCATAGAACTGAGAAGTTTCACACACTCACAAACAGTTTTTAGCTTCAAGTTTCATTCAGCTGCAGCTCTGACGATAACAAACAGAGCGGCATGGAGACACTAAACAATGATATAAAAATATAATTCAAAGCCGTAAGAAGATATTTATAATTTATCAACTTGAAAACACAACTCAAAGGCTCCGGTGTTTTTTTTAGTCTCTATTGAAGGGTGACCTTAACAGACTATAGCCTAATGTGAAATCATACAGGACACATGAATTGCTCCACAGCTCCGGGAGCTCCATGATCAAAAGATGTGATTGGTCAGCGGGCGGAGATTTTCTCAGGTCGATCGCTTATCTCAAACGTAACCTTCTCCAGGAGCAGGTTAGGCGTGCAGCATAAGTTACCGTGGCGATATACCCAGGTAAGAAGTGAACGACCTTTGTAGGATTTAACCCTGAAGTTACCTCGCTAACCACAAATCCTGCTTCGTAGTAAAGGCTCAAATCAGATGTCTGTTAACCAGTTTCATGAAGAGATTTAAACATTTGTTTACATTTGCAATTTTCTGCAGATATTATTTTCCCACCAGTGTGTGTGTTCCTAAAGTGTATGTGTTATGCTCATGTTTATAATCTCATTAGAGTGTGGCACCAGGACCTTGACAGATAGCCTGAAGCAGAGAAGAGTATTGCATGTGTGTGTTTGTGTGTGTGTGTGTGTGTGTGTGTGTGTGTGTGTGTGTGTGTGTGGATGTCAAACTACACTATTTTCAGCAGGAACTTGTTCAGGCAGTATTCAGGTTGGGTATCTCTTTCTTATCTCACACACACACACACACACACACACACACACATACAGCATTTTCACTCCTTAATTTTTCATGCAGGTCTGACTTGCAGCGAGGGCTATATACAGCAGGGGAGTTATTATAGCTTGCTATAGACAGAGACATGGCAGGCAGTGTGTCACACTGTAATGGAAAGAGCAGAGAGGAGACAAAGTGCCAGAGAGAACAGAGCAGGAAACAGACGAGTTGGACTCAGGAAAGGAGGGCGAGAACTGGAAATTGAACACTGTGTCTGTTTGTGTTTGAGTACGGATCTGCTGCTTGGTGCAGAGTCGTGGAAAAATAATAAAGAGAGGGGGAAAAACAGAAGGGTTGGTTGGAGAGACTTGCCTATCAGTTAGGAACTTACTCTACATGTACTCAAAAATGGTATGAGACGCTCATTAATGGTACGACTGGCAACATGTTGGTTTGTCCGTCAGATGGTCAACACTTTTTTTCCCCAAGTTTTCTTTTCTGATACAAGCAGGTAAAATGTTTTCCCAAATCCAGTGAAAAATCCCAAAAGATGCGCACATCCCATAGTGGGTGCTGAATCCAAAAACCAAACAGGTATAAAGAAGCAAAAATAAATCAGACTTGGCAGAGTGAGAGGAAACATATAGGCTCACTTGTTAATAAATCCTTTGACGGGAGCTTCTTGGTGTGAGGATCTGTTTTACTTCTTCTTCCCCAGATCCAGTTAAAAATGTCTTCTAAGTACACAGACATTCATGCGTCTCCTCCAATTAGCGATTAGCACTGATGTATAGGTTGAACATCTGTATCGGCCAATATCGGCCCTGATGACAGATATCGGCTCGTCTGCAAATAATAAAGCTCGCACTGATGTCAGTAGCCTTTGTGCATCTGTCGTGTCTAAAAAACTTTATTTATGTAGCGCTTTCTAAAACAAGGTTACAGAGTGCTTTACAAATGAAAACAAAAAAAGTCTCCTTTTGGACAAACTGATTAATTTTCATGGTCAAATGTGAAAGAAAATGTTGTCAGCGTGGGAGTCTTACAAAGTCTCTGGGAGAAATCAGGGCCGTGCAGTTTGTATGAGGAGAATCAAACTTAGAAGTCTTGTCTAAAGTTTTATTTTGGACCAACTAGCAACAAAACTCATGAAATTTGTGTCCACTTCAGCTTTATTTGTGTTCATTGCTAATTAGCCGATGTAAACATGCACATATCGATGGTAAGCATGGTGAACCTGCTTAATAAGAACATTTTTCCTGTGAGCGTTTTAGTATGCTGATGTTTTAGGTCCAAGTACTGCTTTTAGGTCAAAGTGCCTCCAAATATAGCCTGATCGAAAAACCTGCCCATATGCCTTTATTTCTTGTTGTACTAAAACAGACAAGATAGTGTGCACAAAGTGGGCCCCAGATGCATGTCTATTGATCTACAATAACAGCAAAGAAAAGCTTCTGAACTAAAGGTATACTTTGTAAAATCAGTCTAGGCAGCACTTTAACAGAGGTAACTATACGGGGAACAAAAATGGCAAGATTTCAAAGATAATGTATTCGCCCCAGAGACAAAATGTAGCGCTCTACTTTAAAAGAAAATACATACAAAGATTGAGTTTTGCTCAAAATGCACTGCTTGCAACAATCTCCACACAGAATGTGCAGCTGTATACGCTTTAAGAGGCCTATTCAGCATGTGTGCTGCATTTGTCTGTGTGTGACAGAGAGAGAGGGCGCGCGAGAGGGTGTATGTTTTGTTCCAAGAAAAGTGCCTTTATCCTACACATACAGTGAATCAGTTGCAAACAAAACAACAACTTTCAAACGGAGATGTCTTGCTCCCCACCCCCTCGCTGGCACACATGCATAACTTCCGATGCCGACACACTCTTTCACATACGCCATTAGGATTCTCTTACAGCAGGGTCTTTTGTTTGTCACCATCTGTGCCTGGAGGACCAAATCAAGCGAGGCAGAAGAGGAAGGCAGCGAGAGAAAAAGGAGTCTTTCTGCTGGTGGAGGACCGCTCCTCCGTCTCATCCTGCTGCAGACGGACCCTTGCAGCTGAACCAGTGGCCACATGCCCAGAGAGCAATAGCAACAGGCCAGTGCAGCGGGGGCATGAGGTGGGTGAGGTGTGTACGTGTGTGTGTGTGTGTGTGTGTGTGTGTGTGTGTATTTGATGCATGATTCAGAGGCCTCGTGGACTATGTGTGCTACAGAGAGACTACAGAAATAAAAGGGATTTTTATGAGCATGCCGCTGGTTCTGCTGTGTGCATGATATATTATTTCCAAGCTGTATCCTGTGTGTGCAGTATGTGTCATCATGTGTGTGTGTGTGTGTGTGTGTGTGTTTCATCATTGCATACTTGAGCTACACTGTAAGGCTTCTGTATTTATGTGCAAAGTAGAAAGATCAATGTATGTGTTGATTTAAGAGCTGCCACTAATGACTATTTCCTGATTAATTGTTGTGTGTGTGTGTGTGTGTGTGTGTGTGTGTGTGTGATGTATACAGAAGGATTGAGTTTGTTTGAGTGTGAGTATTTTTGTGTTAACATTTATCACGTGTACTTTCAGCAGGCAGAAAAGATTGTGAAATGTGAAACTCCTCACCCTGTTGTTCATTGCATCTCCCAAAATGCTACAACATATTTTGTAGTTGTTTGCAGTTGTCATGAATTGCCCTTATTACTCATGATAAACATTTTTTTCCAGACCAGTAAAGAATATCAAGTATTTAAGTAACACAAGCAGCTGAATCATAAAATTAAAATTAAGAGGCATGTTCTACAAATGTTTGAGCAATCAAAGGTTGAAAATTGACTGATTGCAGCTTTTAAAATGTAAGGGTTTCATGCTTTTCTCTGTTTTCTCTGTTTGTAGATTGAATATTTGTGGTTTTGGACGATTGGTCAGAAAAAGGTGCATTTGAAAGAGATCACTGTGGTTCTGAAATAATTAGAATTTTGCCAGTATATTCAACTCATTCAGTCTGATAAAATATAACAATCAAGCTAAACCATAATCGAGTAATTAATGGATATTGACAGCAACAATCAATGCAGCCCCTGCTGGCCTACTTCTACTTCACAACCATTCCTTGTTCACACTAGTGTCTGTTTGCTCCTACCTGTGTGCAGGTATCCGCCTCTCTCCGGCCACCAGAACGACGTCGCACAGCTGTCGAGACCTCAGGTAACCCTCCATCTTGGAGAAGGTGACATCGGCGTGGGACAGAGCGGTGAACGTAGAGTCCTCTGGACACGCACAGGGCTCCATGGACACGCACGAGGACAGGGTGGCGCTGCTGTTAGACGTCCTGAGCCCACACAGGCGGCCGATAAAAAGACACACACAAACAGACACAAAGAGAAGGGGACAGGAGCGTGAGTGCATGATTTAATACTGATTCTCTTTCTTTAGACAAAGAGGCAGATGTGCAGAGAGAGAGAAAACCCAGCTGCTCTGTGTCTCTCCTTCACTTTCAACAGGGTTACTGTACGTCGCCAGGAGCAGACAAAAGCCCTTTAATGCTCCAATTACTAGGAGTAAATGACCAGATAAATTTAGCCCACTTAAAAGAGAGGCTGCCAATTAAATAACTGTGGGAGCCGTGCCCATAGGATACGCTGTAATTTACTCTGCTCCCTAATGGCAACCAGTTTCCTTCCATCTATACCAACAGTGAGAAATGAAGCAGAGTTCGGGGCCAGGAAGGCTTCAACATTCGTTATTCACTGGTGGAGGAGTCGAAGCCTCAGGCTGATATGTCTTATTCCTCCAGTTTGGCTGATGAGCTGTGTGCGTGTGTGTCTGTGTGTGTGTGTCTGTGTGAGTGTGTGTATGTGCCTGCTTGTTCATCAAAAGACATGCACCAAAGTAAAGCTTCCCTGTGAATCATCAGCCATCATGGCTCCCAAACCAGCTTTTAATTTATGAGAGTCAGGAGCTGTACTTCCATTTTTAATTTAACAGCAGCAGCGGCAGGACCGGCCCTACAGCACAAAGAGATTAGAAATGAACTGATACTCCAAGGACGAATCGTTTCACTTCTACAGCTAAAGAGAAATCACACTCTTATGGGGATGTCGAAGTGTGTGTTCATGTGCGTGTGTGTGTGTGTGTTAAACTGTCTTTAATAGAGATTTTCCCCTGCATACCCTCGCTGGAATAAACAAAGTGAAAGTAGACAGAAAATCTGCTAAGGCACTGAAAATGAATATAACACGATTTAAAAACAAAGACTTAATGATCCTAAACACGATCAAGTCATAAATAATGATCTTGTGTTTCTGTAGCATGTCCTCTTTTCTGTCTTTGTGATACAGAGAAGGTCGCCTGGTTTAGGTCCTCTAGGGAGCTACAAGTAGGGCTGCGCAATTAATCACAACTCTATGGTTAACAGGAAGTAAGCATTCACAAGAAAGGTGTCAACAAGCAATGCTATCTCACTGAGCATGCATATAGTTAACCCATTAGATAGAGGCCTGGGTAAAATGACTACTCTTCTACACTTTTGGCTGCAGGCAGATGAAGCTCAAGCTAACTATGTCTGCTAACCTCAGATTAAATGGTGCCAATTAAAAACAATACTTTTAGGATTTATTTTGGATGCAGGAGAATCGTGACACAAACTTACATTTGTATTGTGTAAACCATGAAGAACGTCTGACGTACACACAAATGTGAGTTAAAGCTAACATGCAGTCACTTACTTAATGCACATTCAATTTTTCTCATATCCTGCACGCCTATGAAGCAGCAAATGGAAGTCTCTACTCAGGCCCGACCGATTTGACATTTTTAGGTCCGATACCGATATTAGAGAGAGAGAAAAAAAACGATACCGATATATTGGCCGATATCTTTCTCAGACCTTACTTCGATCTGTAGAGATAAATATAGATACAGATATTAACATTTATTGCATTGATCACTCAAATGCAATTGTCAAAATGACAAGATGGTCACTCAACTGGAAAGTAACTGCGCATGTTTGTGCATCACCGCTTGATACGCTGGAGAGTGATGATGTTTGTTGTAATCCATATAGCGCCCTCTGCTGGTTAAAGAGAACTGCAAAGTTAATTTAATGAAACTCAAATGAAATATAAATCTAGTAATATCGGCACATATCTGCGATAAAAATCAGCCGATACCGATAGTGACTGGATATGCTAATATCAGCCGATATTATCTGTAGGACGATAAATCGGTCGGACTTTAGTCTTTACCGCCACATTCTTTTTACATGTTTACTTGGATACCAAATCTTTTAATTTTGTCTCCATATTGGATTCCTCAAAGGTCACATTTGTGTTTAGATGTGTTCAGGAGATCTTGTGTGATATTTTCCCTATCTGGTTAAAATAGTGTTCTGCTGATGTTCCCGCCATCTCACATGGAACTTAAGTACCATGGATATCTCCATCAATCTGATGCTGACTCAAATACCTCGACCAGGTATCAGTGACAAAAGGAGCCAGTCCTGTGCCAATCTATTTGTTTAAAACTCTATGTTCATGTTCCTTGTGCCAGTCATGCATTTGTAGCATGCCTCCTGGCGCCCATATTACTCAAAGGAAGGAGGTGTAGGGAGCTCAAAGTTCAGTTATTATGAGTCGTTTCACACTAGCTGCACAGACAAGTTTCACAGTTACTTGTAATATCTGCAAAAGCTGTTACATAAGCTTTACAAAGTCAGCAAAGAAATGTTTAGGTCAAGCCTGATGTTGTCTTACACATAAAACAATGACCCCAGTCTGCTTCACACTTCATAAAGCCGGAGTCAGATTCATACTCAGTACTTTCCAACACCCCAACGCTCAGTACGGGGTCTGAAAAGGAGACACTGCTGATGGAAACCTCAGGTTGTGATTTTCTGCCCTGGAAGTTACTGTTTTGTTTTAACATAACAATTCTTACCACCTTTGTTTTTAGATAAAAGGAAATAGCACTTAACAAACGTACTGTGCTTTACCTAACCGGCACCAAACTGCAGACAAAGTGAGCCACTAGCGATCCAATTTATCTGTTCAAAAGGTAACAAAATATCAGTTTACAGCCTCTTCCTGCTCTCCCAAGATGCAAAATACATCTGCTATCACAGATGTAAAACACTCAGGAGACACATTTGTGTTTGTTTTGTGAAGGAAATGTGTAGGAAAACGCTGGGCCAAGCAGTGTACACACAATATTCATGCACACAGTTTTGTTTTATGTATGCCGCCTGATGGTGATGTGTCATCTTCCCTCTGCCTCCGTCCTCTCCTCCTCTCGATACATCTCCCGTCCTCACTTTTATATATCCCACTAATCTCATCCATCACTCACTTCATCCCACCGTATCCCATCATCCATCTTCGCCTCGGTCCTCTCTCTTCCCCAGTCCCATTTCTCACCCTCCAGGAAAGGCTTTTTGGCAAAGCCTTTCCTGTGCTCCTGTAAGTGAGTGAGTGTGTGCGCGTGTGTGAGTGTGTATGTAGACGAATGGTGGGGCTAAATACTGCCAGAGGAGATGGCTTTGAAGTAGGGGAACGCTGCCTTCCAGTCCCCTTAATTGAGCCTGGCAGGCACTCAACATGGACACAGAGAGAAACAGAGAGAGAGAGAGGGAGGGAGAGGAGAAACACAGAGGGTGAATCAACACCATGCAGCCAGATTTTTTAAACCCCTGCAACCAGGCAAGGACACTCACACAGCTGTAACTCAGTGTCTCTCTCTATGCCTGTCTCTTTCACACATATTTGTAATAAACTATCACAGGCTGCTTAGCCCGTATAGGCCAATGGCTGATACAAATTAAACTTAGTTCTGAAAGCCGATACATGGCGTGTCACAGAGTGTGTGATGAGTGCCTGCCTGGTCAGGTTAAACAGGTTAAACCATCCAATGACACACATGTAAACACTTTTGTTTCCCAACACAAAGACAGAGAGAGAGAGAGAGAGAGAGAGAGTAAGGGCAAATGAATGGACAAGGGGACAAAGTGGGCAAAGATGAACACGGGACAGAGGGAGAGAGAGTGAGTAAGGGTTGCACACCAGGATTAAAGAGCTATGGTGGGGGAGGGGGGGGGGTGTTACGGGTGAGAAAGTAAAAAAAAAAAAGGAGAGGAGGAGATCAGTGGATTCGAGGCAAGCCATCACCCACTCTGGGATTCTGAGTGCGTCCCTTTCCGCGATCCCATTTGGGATTCTGCCACTCGTGTTCTTGGGAGTATTTTACCGTAAGCAGGAGCTCTCAGAAGGAGGTGTACAGCAAGACACACATACAAATCAGATAACATGTAATGTCAAATTTGCACATGTATGCTGCAGAAACTGATCTCTGTGTTGGTATGGCAACCATAACATGTAAAGGGGACACGGTTTTGCACATATATATAGGCTATACTGTGTGTACTCAAACCCCTGTGCAGGTTCACATCTTTCTTTGTTTGTGCTAATGATGAGGCTGATATGTGTCTACATGAGCATCACTATTAAAGCAATGTTCCTAACCCATCATCATGACAGAGACATGACATCGAGCCTTGCATAACAAGGGTATTTTTAAAAGCACGTTTCTCTCCTTCTCTCTTCTCTTTCTGTCTCTCATGCATGAACGTACACAGTTGAGACGAAAACAAATGACGTGAGGAAACTGATGTATCTGCATTTGCTTCCACTGGAAGCTGTTTAAAAGTACGAGTGTGTGTGTGTGTGTGTGAGCTTGTGTGTGTGTGTGTGTGTGTGTGTGTGCGAGCAGGCATGACCTATGAATCATTTATGCATCTGATGTGTGTCTTGGGAACACAGAGTATAATAGGAGGCTTTCAGATGCATTATCATAGTAAACACAGAGATGCAAACACACTCTGTAATTCTCCCTTCACTCCATCACGTTTACTGCTGCATCATAACAAAAACATAAATCTGGGGTCTGTGCAGATGCACTCGGATGGAGGAGTTACGATGCCCTAATTGGTTTGTTACGCTGTCTCCATGGCAACTATTAATTAAATGCCATTTCACATCACTACAGCTGGACAGCCCACAGTGCTACACAAGGAAATATGCACATGCACACAAACGTACAGACAGAGCAGTGAGGATTGTGAGTAAAAAAAACAAACAAACAAAAAAAAAAAAAAGCTGTAAGAATGAGTCGCTGAAGACAAAAAGGATATAAATGTCAAGTGCAGTATGTTGCTACATGGATGGATGGAGCTCAGCCCTGGAGTCGCTTTGTTCATTTGACTCTGAAAATCCCATAGTCACAAGAGTGTGTCTGTTTGTGTGTGTAATGTAACAGAGTCTGGTTGATGAAGCCTCATTTAAAAAGAGGTTGAGAGGAGAAATCAGTGGACCACATGCTGTCCCAAAGGTGCTCAACCATCATTGTCTCTCTCTTTCTGTCATATAGGCTAATGCATGTCCCTCCTCCATACTGCATATCTGACTGTCCACTTGTTATAGATAGCTACTTATTCCCCTTTTTTGTCTATAAATTCAGTACTAGTTCACACTTCCCACATGCACTTGGTTTCCTGAAGCCTGATAATGATTAAATCATGTCAAGCTGATGGCAGGTTAAAAGTGACACAGCAGAATAATGCACAATTTCCTGTGCAGCCTGTTAAAGTAAATAATGAATGCATTAATTGTCCTAACTTTTCAGGAGTTTCTTTTTGCATGAATTTGTCAAAGAAAGTTTTGGATTCAAAGTTCCGGCCCGGAACCGACAAGAAATCCTCCCTACCTGCAGGAGCTGGAGTCGGTTTCCGGGTGGTTGTTAGTTTCCTCGGTGCCCGACGCTGACGGTGCCGCCGCCGCCGCCGCCGCCGCCTCCTCCTCCTCACCCCCGACCTGAGCTGAGGGCTCGGGCAAAAGCTGAGCCTCACCGGGGAGCTCCATGCTCGTCACCGGCCGGGAGCGACGATGGGGAGGCGGGGAAACCCAGGACAACGCCGCCGTGGAGCTCCTACACTCCGGCTGGCTGAAGGAGCGGGGACAGGAGCTGCCCGTCGCTCCCGCTGCCGCGCCTCCCGGACCGCCCCGACTCCCTGGCGGATCAGCAAACTTTCTGCTGCTGCCGTTACACAGGTTAGACCCCGCGCTGCCGCTGGCCACCAGACCGCTGTGACTCCCCACGCTCGGGGTTACGTTGGTTGAATTAGAATTGCTGCTGCTGCTGCCGCCGCTGCCGCTGACTGAAGGTCCGTCCCCCGCGCTGCCGCCCGCTCTCCTCCCGGCGAAGTAGTCTCCCAGCGGCGGAGAGTGAGGCGGAGGAACCGCGGGGTGACCAAACCACCTCCATCGGATACGGAGGATCTGCTTCACATCGAACTCCTTCCGCGAGGAAGAAGAGCCCGAGCCGCTGCTCGACATCCCACGGCTCGAGACGAGGAAATGGCGCGGGAGAGCCCGTGCCGCTCTGCCGTTACAGCGCGTCTCTCCTGGCAACCGCACGCCCGTTAACCGCGACTGAAGGGAGTGAGCGGAATGAGAGGAGTGTATAAACACAAGAGGGGCAGAGAGAGAGAGAGAGAGAGAGAGAGAGAGGGAGAGAGAGAGAGAGAGGTCTTCTCTGAGTTTTATGCTCTGTGCCAAAATCTTTTCTTGCACAAAACCAAACCACAAACATTTGCCACGAGGACAAACTAATGTCACAGTTCTGCCAATAATGCAGTGCAGACCACAAGCATTTTGTAGAGGGATGATCATTATGTTATCATCATCATCATCATCACTCAACAGGCAAGACATCCAATCAGTATTACTTGAATTGAAGCTACTATCTGTTGGCACCTATAGGCTATAACCATATGGGCATAGGGCTAGACATGTCTCTTTATGTGTGGGTCTATTGCCGACTCTTGACAGGCAATTTTCTAGAAAAATTGTAACAGGCAATGTACTTTCAACCAATTTAAGTCTGCACTTCAAATTGCTTGTTATGTAGGCTTCCCCAGCAGTCAAAATCCGCTCACCAAGCAGAAGCAACACATTTTTTTCAAATCAGTTATTAATTGAAAATAAGCCAATTAATAGGCATTTTTGTTGCAACATAGTTAAAATGCTCAAACTATGGGGCACTGGTGGCGCAGTGGTTAGTGCGTGCACCCCATGCTTGGAGGCTGTAGTCTTCCAAGCGGGCAGCCCGGGTTCAAATCCGGCCTGTGGCTCCCCTCCCGCATGTCATTCCCCACTCTCTCTCTCTCTCTTCCTGATTTCTAACTCTATCCACTGTCCTATCTCTACATTAAAGGCACAATAATCCCCAAAAAATAATCTTAAAAAAAAAAAAACTATAGCTACACATTAATTTCTTCCAACTTAACAATTTCATGATTTTTTTTTGTTTCAGATGTATTTCATGTATAATTTCCTCCATGGTCCAGCTTTACCACAGTGAACATGTGTGGCTTCTTAGTCTTCTTAAAGAAAGTCTTAAAAGGTTTTGAGTTGTCAGAAGGACAAAAGAAAACAGTGATGATTTCTTCATGATTTGGCAATATCATGTTTTCTGAGCTCATAGCAACCGATTTTTTTCCCACACAATCTCAAGTGGAAATCCCCTTTTAAAAAAATAAATGAGACATAATGGGTGAGAAAAGCAGCAGTGTGATACAATTATCGAACTTGTTGCTGGTGAAAATAGATATTTAAAACAAATTTTAAATACAGCGCATTTACCATGTTTTCCAGGCAATTTGACTCAGTCAGCACGTCACTAACTTAATGACTCCTCATGTAGGCGCCAACCACACGAATTAGAATAGAGTGAGCGTAAGTTAATTGGCCAATAAAGAAGTTGACAGCTGGAATGAAAGAGAAAGAACACAGCGGGTAATGAAAGCAGAAAGCAGTGCGAACAAAGTTAAGGATAAGAGGTCCAAAAATACCAAATTGCAGTGAAAGAATGCATTAATCCTGCACTTTGTTTTTTACAGAAATTGCAGTTTATCATTAATTTTCTTGTAATCTGAATATTATTGCAGAAGCGCTGTGTTGTGATATTGCTAATGGGGCCACGTATCGTATCGAACGAGTTACCCTGCGACTCTCACCCCTCGTACTTAACATGTGTCCCTGTGAATGTAAATAGTGTTTGAGTGAACATGGAGCTTTGTGAAGCTGCAGCGACTCTGTAATCAAAGACTCATGAATGTAATGAGGCAGCGGACACATCCTCTTCCTCTTCTTCTTCATATCCGGTCTGGCTGTCTGGACTCACTCCTCTCAGCGCCTGTCTCACAGTTAGTCTCCGTCTTGTTGTTCCCTTACACTCACGTTGTTTGAGAAACTGCAATAAGCTGACGTGCCCATGTGCTGTCTTATCAGATAAACGAATCAGGGAATAGCCAGAATTACTTTGAATGAATACAGTCAGGGACCTGAGTGTCCTTGAAAAATGAAATTTCACTTGTCCCTTCCCCACACACACAAACGCACACACACCTCCTATTCCACTTCACTCGTTTCTCCACAAACCGTTGCTCTTCTCCACCCATTTCAACCCCTTCTCTCAATCTTTCTCCTCCCTCTCTTCCCTCCATCTGCAATGCAGCAGCTATTCATAGACAGTAACGAGCAGTGGGAGCAGGTCCTGTGGGAGCCATCCCATCCAGGCGCCCGGGGGCACCCAGCAGACCAGCCAGCCAGAACCCCTATCACGCTCAGTTGTCACCCTGGGACGACCACAGGATGTGCCACACCATGTTCTGGATGGAGTCCCACCAGCAGAAGTAGAGGGACGCTTCAGGAGCCCCGCAACAGCAAAAATCAATAAGTCAAAGAGCCGAGGTCAGTTTGTGAATTACACAGACAGAAGATGTGTTGCTCATAAATTTGACTACTGCAGCCTTGCCCGGAGACTCATATTTTCCATAAATGAATGACCGAACGGAGCAGATGAACACGGCCAATTTCACTTTCACCACTTCTGTTTGCCAGATTCAGAGAAACACAGGACTTTTATTTCCTCAGTTCCAATGCACTGACATCTAAGTGGAGGACCACCCCGCTGCTCTATCGGATCAATACCACAAAGGAAACACAGACGCACACACAGGCACATAAACACACACACACACACACACACACACACACACACACACACACACACACAAGCGGAGTCTGGAGGAGTAAAAACAAGGAGCAGTGTCATTAAAGCAAAGGAATAAAACACAGAATCTGAGCAAAGGAGCAATATTTCACTGTCAACCAGCTGTTTAGGGTGATTAGGGTATTTGGGTAAAATGCCAACTTGTTGACTGGAACAAGACTTCAAAGCTAATGTGCCGCTAATATTTAAGTAGCTGTATAAGTAATGAACGTGTGTATATATATTGTTGAATTCTTTATATGGAGTGACAGGTGTGCTAGCATGGGGCTAGCTTCACCAAGGTAGATTGGACTGGAAATGTTTCAGGAAGTCAAGTGGCACATAAAAAAAACTTGAGTGGGTTTCATTCTTTCATCCAAACTTCATCTTGATTTCTCAATTTTGTGCTTCTTTTGCATCTTTGATTGATTTGATTCGATTCCAAGCATGAACGCTGCATCAGGAGGTAAGTGTTTTCACTTCCCTCATACTGGTATCCATCATACTAGTAATGATACCTATGCTGGTCTTGTTATCGGCCTTCGATAAGGCCTGGGTTTTCCATTTCAGCAAGTGTACACTGATCATACCATAACCCATTGGTCCCCCAAAAAACAACTGGTTTCCTGGAGCAGGTAAAGAACAGTGCGGCTGGTAGAGAGATTCACGTTAGTCAAATCTAGCAAAATGGTCGCGTCAGTGATTTTCCATCAACATTGTCATTATTTTGGTAACAGTATCAGAGGGGTACTTGTAATCAGCCCATACTCATGTCTAGGTATTGGCATCTGAATTGGTAAGGGAAAAAAAAACCAATACCAATGGACCAATTCTACTTCACCTCACTCATTTCACCAAAGAGGATTTTCAATATGTGCACACCAAGCAAGAAACCTACAATGTTGAAAATTAAAGTCTATGCTGAATTGCAAACTTGCAGTTCCACTTGAGGCTGGCTGCAAAAGCCAAGGAATCCGTAATAGGCCCCATGTAGGAATGTTTGTTTTTACAGCAGAAATAAAGCCTGGTTATGAATGTGGTTTTGGTCTGAATATCTCATTTCTAACTGTACAGGGGGTGAATATTTTTCTGTACACATTAGTTTTTTGATGACATTTAGAGAGTTTTACATAATTTGCATAATTAGGGGAGCGGCAGGTGGGCATGTTGGAGCTGTTTGCCAGGAGGATTAATGCCCTCCTCGCCTCTTTCCCAGCAGTTAAATGGAGCCAAAGTTGGGTTGAGATAGCCCTTTCCAACATAGCGACTGGCATCACTGGGCTTTAAAACACCTAATCAAAATGGGTGACCTCGCTGACACTACGTCCATGTTTATACTTTTGCAAACCAGCCCCAATGGATTTCACATTTTACCTGTGCTTTTTTTTTTGGAGTTTAAAAGGCCCCTTGTTTAACGGTGAACCGGACAACTGCATTATGCTTAAACCCTAACCCTTTTTAATTCCCAACCCGAGGGTGTGTTTGACTAAAAGGAGCCAAATGTTCTCGCTCCCTCATGGGCCTCGCACACCACTTCAAATAAAAGAAAAACACAACTCAGGACCCTGAGAGTGAAAAACCAATGCATTTCTGCAACACTCAAGCTGGAAATGCCATGGTGTTACTGGGGGAGTCTGAAAACAGGGCTCTAAGGAGGAATGTAGCCGAGGAATGACGGGCCATGCAGCTCTGGTCTCCTTCAGTTGGATCTAATCATTGGTCACTTGATGGGAGCCTCCTTGAGCCGCCTGCTGTTATTGGTCTCCTGGCTGTGGTAGTTCGAGGCCATCATTCAAAAGTCTCTAGCACAGCTTTTACGGCTGTATGCCTCAGTCTGGACACACACACTATCGCATAAACACACACACACACACTTAAGAAAATGTCCCTGTGAAATCCCATTCACACACACTTCACACCAGCTAATCGACCTGTTTATGTGCATTCACACTCGCAAGCATGCATGCACACGGCGGGGACACGTACACACACGGCTGCATGCAATCCCGTTTATGTATACTTTGTCCTCCAGTGGCTTTGAACTACACACACACACACGCACGCACGCACGCACGCACGCACGCACGCACGCACGCACACACACACACACACATTTATGCACACAAACACAAATACAGAGCCGAATAAAAACAGGTAGCAGTCATCTGGGGAGAGCTGTCGTAAAAGATTTTACAGGGCAAGAAAAGTGAAACATTATCTGTCTGGCCCGTTTGTGACGATCCCTCATGACTGATTTTCATCCTCCGATGGCCCTTTTTTCAATCTCTCTATTTATTTCTTTGCTCTCCATTCCTCATACTTTTCTTATTTTTCTCCTTCCCCTACACTGTTTTGAAACCTTCTCCTCCCCTTCCTCCACCCTAGTCTTCCCAATATCCTTCCCAACCTCAATTTCCTGCTCCCCATCCCTGCTATTTAACTGTGACACACAAGGGAATGTGTGTGTGTGTGTGTGTGTGTGTGTAATGATGGGACTATGGCTGTGATTCCCTGAGGCGTAGACCGGCAGGGACCATGCTGCCAGAGCTATTGTTCTATATATGTTCACAGGCGTACACACATCAAGTGCCCGCATATGCCCACACACATACAGATGCACACAGAAGAATATGAACTCTATAGCAACTGTACATTCTGTAAGCATACACAAAGAAATACAGGGACACACTTTCATTCAAGTCACAGCACCAACATTATAAACAAGCACACACACACACACACACACACACACACACACACACACACACACACACACACACACACACACACACACACACTGACTGCCTGTTTCCGTTGTGTAATCAGAGTGTTGTTCGGTGCTCTCGCTGCAGGCCGGTCCGTCCTTGAGACTCAGAGCCGGCTC